CTAAGATTGATAGGAAGTAATCGGACTCCTATGAAAGAATCAGATTCCTTTAACAAGAATTAATAGGAATCCTACTAAATGAATATGAGCCTTACGAATCCCATTAATGTGAATAAGAACCCTAAAACTGATAGAAATTTTATTGCGTTAGTAGGAGCCTCGTTATAAAAATCATGGACCCTATGAAACTTTGTTGGAATCCTATGAAAATATATAGGAATCCTCTATTGAATTCGTAGGAATCCTGCCAATATTTTTCGGAACCGAGAAAAGTTAATAGGGAACCTATTAAACTGAATAGGAACCCTTAACAAATTAAAAGAACCTGCTATAATTCATAGGAATCCTGTTAAAATGAGAAGGAATCTGGGCAGCAAAAAAAGTAGTAAATAATGCTGTTTTGTGTGTAAAACACGCTAAAACACGCGAAAACGTGGGCCTATGAGGGGGGGGGGTAGTATATATATATATATATATATATATTTATATATATATATATATATATATATCTAATATTTCTATTGCTAGCGCGGTGCCTAAAGGAGTGTCGTGCATGCACTCTGTCCCGACCGTCAAACTTTCAATCCTCAAACCGAAAACGCATGATGCATCGGCAACGAAAACCGGGGGGGGGGGTGGGGCACATGTAGATCCATTGCACCTCGAGACCATAAGCACAAATCTTATGGCCTCCCCATGGGAGGCCATGGCATGCCCACAGCTGAGCTCCCAACACCTGCGAAAATTGAGCGACCTCGACCGTGCACAGATCTTATGGCCTGTCATGGGAGGCCGGCGAAACCCTGACACCCAAAATTGAGTTCCCCGTACCTGCGAAAATCACAGACGAAGTTATCGTAGAAAATAGATCCTTCTGCATGCATGGTGTGTGCCGGACAGCCATGACATCGTGTAGCGTGCCATGCAGCCCTCCTGTCTTCTTTCTCTCATTTAAAGTCGATCTCTCATTATGTGGCCTGCTTCATATTCCGCCACGCAAAGGGAGATCTGCTCGTCGCACCAGGTTTTCACGACAGCTGGGGGCTGCCTATCTTTCTTCATCTTCTCGACAGCGATCCAACCCATCCGGATTCCAAGTGCATTGTTCCTGTAATACATACAGGAGTACAAGGCATCCTCCTGCACAGGGGCAGCTGGGTGTTTTCATCCCCGTTTCCTTTTCATCCCCGTTTCGTTTTCCTCCCCGCATGCGCCGTTTTTCCTCCCCGTTTCATCTTCATCCCCGTTTCGTTTCAACCCCGTTTCGTTTTCGTGCCGCCGTTCTGATCCCCGCGCCATCCCCGTTTCGTGTTCGTCCCCGGTTCGTTTTCATCCCCGATCATCCCCGTTTCGTTCATCCCCGTTTCGTCCGTTCTGACCCCGCGTTTCGTGTTCATCCCCGCTTCGTTTTATCCCCGTTTCGCTTTCACCCCCGCGCCATCCCTCGGTATCGCTCCCTCGCATGTTGAACCCACCGCACTGCCAGGCCTGAGAAGTCAAAATAAGAAAACACCTCGGGTGCCAACCTCGACATTCATGCTACAAGCGGACCTTTTACATTCTTAAGAGCGAAGCATCTCCTGAAAGTACGTTGCGTCAGGGGCACATGGGCGGTTCCAGCTAACATGAGAATCTGATTGGAATAGTCAATTATCAAGTAACGCCCGGGCCGTCTGCACACTGAGGTCCCGCAGGCGATCAACCTCGCTTCCCGACAACTTCCTACTAACTTAGAGAACTGGCAAAACGTTGTACCCTAAACCCTAAACCCTAAACCGCCTAAACCGCCTAAACCGCCTAAACCCTAAACCCTAAACCCTAAACCCTAAACCCTAAACCCTAAACCCTAAACCCTGGTCCAAGTTTCATCCTCCTGCACCTGCGCGCAGCGTCATGCTCCCGCGCCCGCGCGCAGCGCAGGTGCTGGCCACTGCTTGCCGGTGGTGACCCACTCCGTGGTCGAGGTCGCCTAAAACCCTCAAGCCTTGCAAGCCCTTACTTGCAGGTTCATGGTTATTTGTTCGAAGTAGGGTTATAAGAACCCTAAATAAGGTTATATAACGGTTAAAATGGTTATTAGCTATAAGTAGGTTTATAAGTGCCCTAAATAAGTATATCCAGTTAAAATATAGTTGCCCTACTTAGAACCCCACTTATAACTACCCATGAGCCTCCAAGTAGCGGGGTTTCAGCAAGCCTGCATTCCCTGAGTGCTCCACAAGTCACTCTCGAGGCAGACCTTGAGATACAATCCAAAAAATAGGGTTTAGGGTTTAGGGTTCAGGCTTCAGGGTTTAGGGTTTAGGACTTAGGGCTTTACCAAGCCTACATTCCCCAAATGCTCCCGGCCTACCCTTCAAGCCCTCTCTCCCGCAAGCCCATGAGGGGGTGTAGGGTTTAGGGTTAGGGTTTACTGTAAACCGCAAGTTCGTCTACTACCTTAAACATTGACCACTCAGGACACTACCAATCAGTCACAATTGCTTGATTAAACGTTGACTCAGAACACTGACCAATCAGGCGTAGTGACCCTTGCTTGCAACGCCACGCTGGGCACCGAACACAATCTTCTTCTGGGGTGGGGTGACAGCGGTCGTGCTCCCTGTCACTCAACAACAAGCACTCCTCTGATTGCTTAGCCTTCCACCGCACGAGACGTTTGGCCCTCTCAGATTTGGGTGTCATTTGTCGCGCCACTGCAGAGTACAAAATTACTTCGGGCGTCGTCGATTGAAACAACCGCGCAACGAAGAGGGTTTTTCGGTATAGCTGTAGTTCGCAAATGTCCGTAATATCACAGGCAGGACCAAAAAAAAGTCTCCCGAGACGCGCGCTTGTTGACAACCGCACGTGTCCTCATCAGGTGCTTGGTTCTGTGCGTGCACGAACGGACAGAAACTCCAATCCTCCAATCCAGCTGCGAAGGCCAGGAGGATGCGAGGGTCCCCTTGTTTTATGCTGGGCTCATGGCGGTGTATGATACCCTAAACCCCAAACCCTAAACCCTAAACCCTAAACCCTAAACCCTAAACCCTAAACCCTAAACCCTAAACCCTAAACCCTAAACCCTAAACCCTAAACCCTGGCTTCCAGGCCAAGGCTCCCAGCTCCGAGCACCTCGTTGAGACCCACCCCCCATCCCAGAGAATGTACCAGGAGATCCTAGTTGAACGATGTTCATGGTGAAACTGTCGCAGGGTTTCCTGGTCAAGGCTTATATAGATCACTATCAATGGATATCCAGGTAGGCTCCTAATGGTGTCTCTTCTTTTCCTGGCTTCAGGCATTGTGAAAGTGTTTTACGCCAAGGTGACCTCGGTGCCCCAGGCAGACTTCAAGCAACGGAGCTTGCAAACTCAGCAACGAAGAATTGGGGCCTGTTTGAAGGTCGTCGTTTCGGTCTGGGCCCGGACCAGAATTTTTTTTGTGGGGTGGTTTAGGTTCTTGAAGAACTCTCTCCACCCGAGCAGAGAGGCCGAGTGGTTCTTAACGGTGAAGGGGGAGCAAATGTAGGGCAGTGTACGGACCTTTGCAAAGGACTTTACACGAACTGTACAGCCTTGCTGATTCCAACTCGCCTCGTTGTTTGACCTTGCGGCCCAAGACCGAGCCCAACGGAACCAATGTGTTCAGACTGCAAGCAATTCCATATCATCCAGGCGTGATCCAGCTTTTTGGGCATGGAAGAGCATCGGCCGAAGGTGCGGCCCACGCTGCAGGTGGCGGCCTTCGTAGCGTCGTGGCTCATTTCTTGGTACACCCTACTCTACAACTCCTCGCAAATCCTTTTCTTCCCAGACCGTCGCTTTGACGTGGTCTTCCTGGCCCCAGTCCTCTTCTTGCTACTGGGCTTGATCATGACGAACCTCATGGGCTATCTGGATGAAAAGGATGACTCGGTATTGGCACGCGCGGCTGTGGTGGACCTGGACTTGGCCCTGCTGCTCCGGCGCCACGGAAGGGAGCTCTTGGCCGGCAGCAGAGTCCAGCGGCTCAAGGTGCGGGCTTCCAGAAATTCTGAGCTTCTGTCTTCAAGTGTCGTTGCGGTGTTTTTTTATTGTAGAGGGTCTAGGCTTCCCCACCCATTTTGTATTGGAATGCCCAGGTGAGGCAGGCGCTCGGCAGGGGAATCCCCATGTCAATGGTCTCTTTGTATCTCGCCAGCCGCTCCGTGATCGAGGCTCCTGTGTGCCAGCTCAGCGCAACACTCAGCAAGGTGATCATCATGGGAACAAATCGGTCCAGTGCTGTCGCCGACTTCGTCCAGAAAACCTCGGAAACATGCGTCTTGGATCTTCCTTTTGGATGGGCCTGGCTTGTACGAGCCACGCTGAGTCCGAGAAGGCCCTGGCTAAGCTCCGAGCAGTGCCTCTGGCCCGGAGTCTTGATGACACGTTACTTGTCCAATGGGTGGAAGCCGAGAAAGACATCTGGCGTACCGCGCATTGTGATAGATCCGTATGGCAAGTCCAGCAAGGGGCGGAAGACGAGCAGACTTGTGGTTACGAGATCTGTATCGGCGAGGACCAGCCGCAAGGTCCCCTCAGGTCCTTCAACCGCTTCGTGACTTCGGCCATGCGTGAGGAGATGAAAAACAACGCAGACTTGCAAAATAGCACGCGGAAATTGCTGAGCAAGACCACGTCGCATTGGACAAGAGGTCTAGGGAGTCTAGGTGTGTTGCCTTTCAGTACACTGGATTTTCGTCTCAGCCCGCCAATACTGCTGAAATCCTGGCGGTTGTGGCAGCCTCGGTTCTTGCTGGGGCTGGCATTTCTGCTGGCATCCATACAACCGCTAGCCGAGATGGTGCATGGAAGGCGCTGCCTTAGCAACTGGTGGCACAAGGTCGCAGTCGTTATGCACTTTGGCATGGACGTCATCATGCTCGAGATCACCTCGATTCTAGTGCTGACCTCAAGCTCTATCGACCAGTTTGGCAATGCCATAGTTTCCGCACTGGACCTGAACCCAAGACGGTTGCCGATCTCGACCCGGGCATGCATACGAGCATGCAGTCAGGTTTTCTGCCAGATGACGGCCTTGAAGCGCTCTCCAACATGTCCTTGAAGATCCTCCAAGACCTCAACAAGCCTTTTCAGATACATGCCCCGCTCTTCGTCGCTTTTGTGGTGGCAGCACTGCTCTTTTATTCCCTGTCCACCATCCTGTGCAAGGACGGCAGCATGTGCCGAAGTCGCCCGTGGGTGACTCGCTGGACCACCGCAGTTGGCGGTCCGCTTCATCTCCTCGGTCGCTTGGAAGAGCCGGAGGTGCGGAAAATGTGCCAGCCAATACGACTCCAGCTGTTGCTGCGAGGGCTGCTGCTCAGCGCCATTTTGGGTGTCTTCCTGGCACCTTCCGACCAACTCGATGCCAACGTGTCCACTGCCTTGGTCTTCAACATCGTGATGGGCCGGCTGCCATGGTTCCTCGCCTGGTTCGCCTTGTCTGCGCTTCACATCTTCTCTGGGACGCTGGCCATCGACGGCATTGAAAAGAACCAATTGTTCCGGGATAAGAAGCAGAAGCTCAAGGACATGGAAGCCGCCTATGGGGCCACGGCCCAGGCCAAGGGACCCGACTCCAGCCCCCAGTTCCCAGAAAGGCCACCAAACCTCGTTCCCAGCGCTGCCGCATCTGCCATGCCACCCGGTCTGCCGGTGCCGACAAGTGTCAGCTCGTCCACCGTGCCACCCGGCCTTCCACAATTCTGAGGCAGGCCACCTGCAGGAGTTAGCCTCTCCCAGGCCACCGGTCGTGTCTCACTGCTTGGGCAGAGCTTAAAGGCATCAATTGCAGGGCCAAATGCGTTTGAAAGCACCTTTGCGTCGCAGCTAAAGAAGGGAATCGCTCCCTCTGCCCGCCTCACCCACGGAACGCCTTCGCAGCAGTCCGCTCCGTTTGTGAGGGAGCTTTCAAGATTGGGGTTTTGCCTGACCATGCCTGACCTATTACTGTGAGCGTAGATTCGCGGCCCACGTGCATCCAGGATTCATGTTGTGGACTGGACCCTCAGACGGAAGGGTCGAATCTGGGGTACCGCCAGCACTTCTGTGCTTATTGCAATATAGACCCTAAACTTGAGGTTTGAAGGCCGTTCCAGAAGATCTTATGGTAGCTTACGGGTCCGCGAGTTCGAATTGTCATGGAACATCCGCGAAAGGGATGCTAGACTCCAGAATATTTGTGCCCACCACAGTGCCTACTGCTCGAACGCGTTTGCGGGCGTGTGTGGGTAGAAGATGAGCAAGGCAAATCAGAGACGCAACTTATTGAAATAAATGGAATGCGTGAAATTCATGGAACGTGGGTCGATATGCGCAAGACACCTGTCTCTTTCAATGCAAGACATTTTCATCAAGTTGAGCCACATGAAGGGAAGATGAGGGCACTTGCAGCGTACACGCCGCAGGCTTTCAAGCGATGTTTTCCCACAAGTCGACACCAGTAAACGTCATTGGGGTTTCCATTGCTGCTGCTGCTGCTCACCTGAGGCTCATCCGCTGCTCTTCTGATGCTCATCCGCCGCTTCGTTGAGGCTCATCTGCTGCTCGCTCCTCTAATGCTCATCCGCCGCTCTGGCTCCGATGCTCATGCGCTGCTCCTTTGCCTCTGATGCTCATCCGCCACTCCTCTTGCTCACTGCAGCTCATCCGCCACTAAGGAAAATCCACTTGGTTTGTCCGTCAAATCCGCCAAATCAATCATTCCTTGATTCCTAATGCCTTGCCAAGCTTGAAACAAGGTTTATCATGGTTTATCAGCCGCCAAATTAGTCAAAACCGTCAAGTTCGTTGTGGTTGCTCGTTGCCCAGACTAAGCCGGCTCACGTCCACAACTGTGTGTTTCAAGACAGATCCGGCAGGGCCGGGCCGCTCCGCGCCGCGCCGCAGCTCCGCGGGCTGCATCTCCGCTTGATGCTCATGTTGTGTCAATTCTGTCAATTCCATGAATTCTGTCAAATCCGTCAATTCTGTGAATTCTGTCGCGCCGCTCGCTGTGGGCCTTCTAAAATGCAGCATTTGACACTTTTGACACGTCAAAATAATCTCAGGAGAGTGCGGAGCCAGACTTCCTCCGCATTCTTTTGACAGCTGGCATGCAAGGTGTCAAGTCCAAAACTGCACCAGGAAGAGCTGCGGGCCTTCTAAAATGCATCATATGACACTTTTGACGGAGTTGACATGAATGACGCGTCAAAGAAATCTCGGAAGCATTCTGAGCCATTCTTCCCTGCGTGACAAGGGACAACTTCGGAGATAAGATTGTAATGACTTTTGACGAACAGAAAACTTTTCATTTTTTCTAGTGTCAAATAACGCTTTTTTTGATCCACAGCGCGCCCCTCCGGCTCTCTTGTAATTTTTTGGGGTCCTGAAACTGCACTCAAGTGATGAGACATCTGCAGCATTGTTCTTTGATCGCCTCGACAAGTGTCGTCAGAAAAAATCAATGCTTTCTAGAGACAAGCAGATCATAAGGTTGACATTTCGCTGTTCAATGTTGGAAAGTTATTTGACAGGTTGTGACTTGCTCCCACCTCACCCATGCAACCGAAACCCCAGTCTACTGCCAACATTGAACAGTACTACATTGTTACTACATTTGTACTACAATTCAACGAAAATCCCTCCGCTTCCTGCGCCGCCGTACGCGCTGCAGCCCGCTCTCGCCCCCCCCGGCTCCGTCCTCCCCGTACTACATTTGTATACTACAATGCAACGAAAATCCCTCCGCTTCCCGCGCCGTCGTACGCGCCTTCGTACGCGCCGCAGTCCGCTCTCGCGCCCCTCCAGCTCTGTCCTGCCAGTACTACATTTGTACTACAATTCAACGAAAATCCTTCATCTTCCAGCGCCGTACGCGCCGTCGTACGCGCCGCAGTCCGCTCTCGCGCCTCTCCGGCCCTGTCCTCCCAGTACTACATTTGTGCTACAATGCAACGAAATTCCCTCCGCTTACCGCGCTGCCGCAGTCCGCTCTCGCGCCCCTCCGGCTCTGTCCTCCCAGTACTACATTTGTACTACAATTCCACGAAAATCCCTCCGCTTCCCGCGCCGCCGTACGCGCCGTCGTACGCGCCGCAGTCCGCTTCCGCGCCCATCCCCCTTTCGTTTTCATCCCCATTTTCGTTTTCATCCCCGTTTCGTTTTCATCCCCGTTTCGTTTTCACCCCGCGGCTCTGATCTCCGCGTTTCGTTGTCATCCCCGTTTCGTTTTCATCCCCGTTTCGTTTTCACCCCGCGGCTCTGATCTCCCCGTTTCGTTTTCATCCCCGTTTCGTTTTCGTCCCCGTTTCGCTTTCACCCCGCGCGGCCATTCTCCGGTATCGTGCTCACGCGTTTTGAACCTAAACGAGAACCCAACATCCGAGATGCTTTTGGGAAAAACCACTTTTTGCGAAAAGTGACCTTTCTCGCGACTTTGGCGCGAGCAGCATCCGCGAAAAGACACTTTTCTCGAAAAGTCACTTTCTCGAAAAGTGACTTTTTTCGAGGCGTTGCGCGCGCGGCGTCCCGGAAAAGCCACTTTTCTCGAAAAGCCACTTTTCTCGAAAAACTACTGTTCTCGAAAAGCCACTTTTCTCGAAAAGCCACTTTTCTCGAAAGGCCACTTCTCTTTGAAAAGTCACCTGTGTAGTAAAGCCACCGCTTTGTTTGCCAAAAGTGATCTTTCGCGTGGTGCTGTGCGCACAGTGTCTCTCAAAGCCACTCGTGCTGACATTGCTTTTGTTTCCCGAAAAGACGGGTTTCCCGAATGTTGGTCTTTGTCTCGCCGCTATGCTATTTAAAGAAAACCGGGCTTTTTGAAAAGCTACGTTCTGTGACGGTTACCTTTTTCGTGAGAAGCCATGACTTGTTTTGTGAATATATTCTTATGGGGTTGTGCAACTAACTTGCTTGAGAAGGTAGTGTCATTGAAAGCTGGAAAAGGCAGTGTCTGCTAGAAGCTTTGTGTCTCTTTGCGTTGCGTGTGGATTTGGTTTGCGTAGCCACTTCTCTCGCTGTCGTGGACAACTGCACGATAGCCATACGCAGCACTTCCTTGTGGATTTGGGTTTAGGGTTTGGTTTAGGGTTCATTTCTTTGGGTTTAGAAGTTTAAAGGCATAGCACATCTTTGACGGGGGTGTGGGGATATAGAACGTTCTGGACAGGCAAGGTGTGCTCCAGGTTCACCCTTCGTACTTCTTTCACGTGCTCACTTACCATGTGAAAGGTTAGCTCTGGAACTTTGTGAACCCTCAGCTCTCAGAACCCTTGAACGTAGAGTTGCAAGATAAACTCTTGAACCCCTACGTCCTGAGCCATAAACCCTAAACCCACTAGATCGCCCAAATGCTGGCGGCCACACACAAAAGGTTCTGTTGGTTGCTTTAGTGGTGGGCGCCGTGTCATGTATTGCAGACGTATTACATGTACTTTTCCTGAAAAGCTACTTTTCCCGAAAAGCCACCTTTCTCGAAAAGCCACTCTTCGAGAAAAGCTACTTGCATCGAAAAGCCGTGTTGGGTTTTTTGTGACTTTCTCACGGCGTTGGGGCACGCAGCGTTTTCAACAACAGGTATGTTCTGGAAAAGACATCTTCCAAAAAACAACGTGGCCTGTGGCATATTCCGGAAACGCCGCTTTTCTTGAAAAACAGCTTTTTGAGCAAAGTGATTTTTCTCGCGGCGTGCGTCTTAGAAAAGCCGCTTTCTCGAACAGTCCCTGAGAAGCCATTTTTATCGAAAAGTTGCTTTTTGCGAAAAGTGAGTCTTCTCGCGATGTTGGGGCACGCAGTGTCCGCGAAAAGCCACATTTCTCGAAAAACCACTTTTCTCGAGAAGCCACTTTTCTCGAAAAACCACTTTGTTAGACAATTTTCCGCTAACCTGGAGGATGCACCGCGGGCCAGCTTAGTGGGTAGGAGACGCTCCATTACAACCTACGTTCCGCGGCCTTGTTCTCAGCACTCGATTCCATGGGCTCAAATGTGTGAAAGTTAACTCTAAGAGCGAGGAGCAGCCAACATTGCTTATTGCGAAGCAGTCCAGCAAAATCGAGCACCTGTCTCCCACACCCCGAAATCTCCTCAAACTTCGCTCTATACACTTACCCTGAACCCCGGAACAGCCTCCACCTCTGAGCTCTACTTACTGTACCAAAAGCTCCAAGAGCAGGCTTCAGACGCAAAACGCGCCAGCAACGGAGGGACCTGTCTTCGTGTGAGCTACAGTCAAGATTATGGTTCGTAGGGCCATGCGAAGAGTGGTCGTAGGCTTCGAAGAAGGAACGAGTAGGCCCTGCTAAAGCCCATATAAGCCATGCCATGCTAACACATACATACATACATACCTACATACATACATACCTACCTACAAAAGCACATTACAAACATACAGACGGGTGAGCGCCTCTTCCCCCGCGGAGCTCATGGTGGATCTGCGTTGGGCGACCGCCGCTGCTCTGGCAGTGCTGGGGCTTGTGCTGCTCTTCTTCCATGTGACGTACAGCTTCGCTGTCTTCGCCATGTCTCTCTACGTTGCTTGCAACTTAGGGCTGCGAACCCAATCTTCCCCCGCTCCCCTGAAGCTGCGGGTGTTTCAGGCGGCTGCAATCTGGCTGTGCACTTCTCTCGTCACCGCCAGTCCCTGGCTCTTCCTGGGAGGAATGCAAGGTTGCCGGGAGTTCGATCCAAAGATGAAGACCTCGTATGGCTATGCTTTTGATCAGGTTTGGACGCTGCTCTACTTTCGACACGGGCTGAACTGGTCCATGACTCTTGCTGCCACCTATCTCGTTCTGGCAGATCATCCACCCTCCACCTACATTCGGGACTGCTTGAGGTGTTTCCTCTACTTTTATGGAGCCTCAATCGTCGCGACGCTTGCAACCACGTGGGTGGCCTGCAGAGGTACGGATGAGAATGAGGACGGTATCAGGGATAGCATGTTTGACGAGTGGTATCCAATGAACACGTCAGTCGTCGGGGCACTGCAAGCCTCCTCAAGAGTCGGCCTCATCCTCGCCGGCCTATGGTTTGTTCGTATCATGGTCAAGAAGATCCGGGCGCTTGAAGAGGCCTTTGGCGAGCCTTTGCCTTACTCTGCGGCCATCGTGCGGCTGTCTTCTCTGCTGGCTTGCGCCTTCTGTGGGTTTTTCTTCTTGCAGGTGTCCCGTCTGGCAACGTTCCTGGGTGGTCTGGCTGGATGTCTGGCCTTGTCTGTTCTGACTGTGCTGAAGCTTTTGGCACTTCGAGTGCCACTTAGGGCTTTGCAATCCAGCAGATCTTGCGGCGGGGGGCAGTGGACGATGAAGGTGGACCGTGCCGTCGCTGCTTTGTGGCGACTTCAAGTCGCGATGTCGATGGGCAACTCCTGCATCATTCTCTTCGTGGTGACTATGGGCTACAGCTTCTGGTCCCAGAGCTACGAGGCAGCCACTATACAGGACTACAGCTCCTGGCTCGGCGCCGCGGGAAGTTCCGCTTGCCTGGTGCTTCTGACCAGCGGCTCGCTTCGTCTTCCCAGGCAGCGCGGGCGCGGCCCGCCTGGAACGCAGCCCCTGGAAGAGGCGCCTCAGATTCAGGAGAGGGTGCTTCACTGCACCTGCGATACGAGATGGTCTCTCCGTGACATGAGACAGAGCCTGTCGCACGTACCCCGACTCTCGTCGCTGTCCAAGCGCGCGTCCGCAAGGACCGGCTGCGAAAGATGCGCCTGGGAGCACAAGGTGCAGGAGCTCGCGAGCCGCCGCATCTCCGCAGAGCAGCTCCTGGACTTCTTTGCCAGGCTGAGATGTGCGAGCGAGGGGGAGGTCAGGCAGATGCTTCACTTTGACCCCGCGCGGTCCACTACCAACGACGTGGTCCGCCACGCCATCATTCCCTTGTCGCGGTGTGGTGACGTGGGAAGGTCACTGGCCGAGGTTCTGCAGGCCTCGCCCTCCCGATCTGGCTGCCTGGGCTCAACAACAACGGTGCGTATGGTGACGCACCACTGGGCGAACCGGTTCAGGGACCTGGTGGCGGCGGTAGTTGCAGATAGCCTGGGGCTGCAGTGCTGGGATAGCGTTGCTGAACAGCTGTCAGCTGGTAAGGAGAAGAAGTTGAGGGAGAGGCTCTACGAGCAGGGCTCATGGCACTGGGAGTACTGGATCTGTGCCTTCTGCATCAACCAGCATGCTAGCATTTGTCAGACTTCCATGGGCGCCCGTGACACGGTAACTGGCGAGGTATTGCCGACTTGCGACTGCTCCACGCCAAAGTACTTGAATGATTTCCCAATCCAGTGCGAGCTCAATAAGTTTGACAGCATGATGGCACACCTTCACCGCCACTGCCGGCACGGATTCCTGCAAGTGCTGGCAATCGACCGCGACTTCCACCTCTTTTCGCGGGCTTGGTGCATCGCAGAGCTGGTACAGGCGCACGCCAGCCAGATGGATCAGCACGTCGTCCTCCACTCCCACGAGACCCTCAAGCAGCATTCGGGGCAGCTGCGCTCCCTGCGGGTGGAGGATTGCTCGGCTTCCCGGCCGGAGGACAAGGAGGCGATCCTGGCCAAGATCGGCCATGGCCCAGAAATTGCGGAGTTCAACAGCCGCCTGCAGCAGCTCCTCCTGGGCTCCGAGGGCCTCTTTGCGGGTTGGACGAACGGTGAGACGCTCCTCCTCGACATCGGCTCCATTGCGGCCCGGGCGAAAGTGCGTCGCGAGACCCGCCCAAGGATCCCAGACACAGAATAGACATCAAGCTCGGCGGTCCCGTGTCTTTTTAAAGATCGTTTAACGCTGGGCTGCCCAGTCTTTAGCATGTGGCATAGGCGATCCTATGTACTTTCCGGTGCGGGGCTGGCCAAGCGCTCACTGCAAACGCAGTCAAAGTGCTTCTGTCTCATCATCACGTTGTGGCCACTGCGTTGGGGCCACTGATTCTTGAAAACCTGGACTTGTTCCGGGCGACGCATGCGGGGCTGAGGTTTGAGGGCGTCACAGCTGGGATTCGACCCGAAGGCCCTTTTAGCCATTATGGGGTTTGCGAAATAAGGGACCCCTAAAATAGACCCCCAAAGAGTAGGATTCCCTTATAGTAAGGAACCCCATACGGCACCACCTAATGTCGGAACCCCCCCCATGTCCTGCAAACTGCAATCCGTCAACCCTCTCGAGTTCCCGAGGTCCATGGGACTCCGCAGCCTAAACCCCAAGTCTTCTAAGCCCCAGACCCTTATACATCCTTACAAACCCCAAACCCTAAGCTCTCTCAACCTTGAACTCACACCGTCCATTTTCTAGGGGGCCACCGGCTGATCAAGTCTCTCCAGGTAGCATCTAGAGGGAAGTTTGGGAGTTTAGGCCCTAGGGTTTAGGCTGCAGGGTCTAGGGACTAGGGTTCAGTCTTTAGGCCCTGGACCGTAGGCTTTCTTAAGAGTTTAGGCTTTAGGTTCAGGGCTTAGGGTCAAGGCATAAACATGTGGCTAAACGCCGGAGGGTAATTCATGCACTTAGCATAAACATGAACTATTAAACCCTAAGCCCTGAACCCGACACCCTACAACCTAAACCCTAAGCCCTAAACCCTAAACGCCACTGTACTTTTGATCGGAGAGGATGATGCACATCAGCAATTAAGTCACTCAACCCCAAATCCTGAACCCTTAACCCCTAAACCGTGGACCTCAAACCCATCACCCTAAACACTAAAGCGACCACTTCCCAGAAGTCCCAAGGCCAGGAAGCAACTATGTTCGTAGATCTTGAGAGGCTGTCCCTGGCTGGCTACATGAATCTTAAGCCCGACACGCTAGGGTTTAGGGTTTAGGGTTTAGGGTGTAGGGTGTAGGGTGTAGGGTGTAGGATTTGACTGTAAACCTAAAATCCAATCCTAAAACCCAAGCCCCAAACCCAAAATTCGAAAATTAATCGCCCAGTGGGTAGTATTGTGGCTTGCATAAGAACCAACACTACTCCTGACTTGGAGGTTCAGGGTACTTATTAACCCAATAATAATTTGTACTTATAACCCAATCATGTTTTTAGGGCACTTAAGTGGCTTATCAGTGGGCTATCAGTGCAGCATTATCGGCTAATAAGTACCATGAACCTCCAAGTAGGGCTTAAGGATTTCTGAACATAATACGGACGCCAGAATCTGCTTCAAAGCCTGCTCTAGTGTATCAAGGCCGCCATAGCTTGCCGATCGCAAGTCTTCAGAGTTTCCATGCCCAGTGGGCATTTTCAGAAGCCCTTTTTCGACCCAGAAGAGAAGGATCGTCAAGAGAGGGACCCCAGTATTGGGTTTAGGGTTTAGGGTTTAGCTTGGGGCTCAGGGTTTAGGGTTAGCAAGGACTTCCCCCCCCCCTCTGTCAGGCCGAACCTACTCTTGCTTTATCGGCTCGGTGCTTTGCAGGCCCTTGCAAGGCTCTGCAAGGCATCGGTAGCTTCCGTGGCCACAGCAATCATCCTTATTCCCATAGCACCTTTACATAGTCCTCTAAACCCCAAACCCTAAACCCTAAAACCCTAAACCCTAAACCCTAAACTCCAACGAACTCGTTCGACAGGGTTCAGACCTGTTTCGTAAAGGAGCCTCAATGGACGCCGACGCTAAAGGCGCCGTCCCATGGGTCTACTACATCCCGGTTGTGAATGTTCTATACGATGCAAACGCCGTTCCGCCTAGCATGCAGCAGATTGATCAGATTTTGGAGACGTTTTCCACTCTGAATGGATTGCTGCTGAGTGTCTGTATTCCAACGGTCGTGTTGTTCTCGCCATCGGACTCCGCCGTAGCGAGGGCCCGGAATTGGAACGGCAGCTATGATCGATACCGGTTCTATAGCCTGTCTGCTATGTTTTGCATCACCACTGCGTCGGTGAGCACGAGTCTGATGTACTTGTTCACTCGGGCAACGGACTTCGAGGGCGCAGCTGGCGTGAGCCGAGCTTACATATCTTGGTGGCGGTACACTCGCTGGAGCTTCTTGTTTCTGATCCTGGGAACCCTCGTAGGCAGCGCATGTCTTAGTCTGGCTATCCAGTATGCATTCGTCCTTCAACATGCCAACGGTCAAGCAGAAGCAGACCTGTTAAGTCGTTTCATGGGCAATTGGAGCTTCTACGGTTTGCTGGGCATGGGCTGTGTTTTCCCTCTGGCTGTAGTCTCCCTGGCAACTTTGACGAAGCAGACGGCTATACATGCAGTGGGACGCATTACCTCAACGAGCCATCGCCAGTTTCGACCTGCCCCCAAGAGTTGGAAGACACGCCTTCTGCACAACTGCCCCGTCATGAACATTTTTTATGACGTGCTGTTCGTTCAAGTGCCGTCTTCAGGCAAAATCAACAGTGTCATGGCCATGTTGATCACGCTCAACAGCCTGCTGTTGGCAGTCGTCATTCCCATGTTGCAACTCTTCGACGATGAGAAAGCAGCCAACGCCCGGCTGCTCAATTGGGACGGTGAGTATGACGAGTTCAAGAGGCAGGTGACCCGTGGCTACGTGTGCATCGCCTCAGCCATGTTTCACGTCGTGTGTATGCACCTTGCAGCTGTCTCAGGGACCTTCGAGTCTAACACTGCTGGCGTGGGCTCCGCGGTGGCTGCGTGGTGGAAGGTTGCGCGCTGGAATCTTGTTGTTACCGGCTCTTGCACCTGCGCGGGCAGTATGTTCTTGTACCGAGCCGCCCACTTAGCATTCAAGTTGCAGCACATGACGACAGCCCAAGAAGGACAAGAGATTGGCAGGTATCAGGACAATAGCCTCTTTGTGGTTGTCCTTGGTTTGGGCGTTGCCTTTCCTTTGCTTGTGCTATCCTTGGCGCACAGCCGGCGTCATCGGGCTATGAACCACAATGCGCCTGCAAAGGAAGAGAGGCAGGTGCTCCATCGTGCCCACTACCTTCCAGTGCCTGGGACCCCAGTAATATCCTTCTGCCCTTTTCGTCGTCTCTTGAGAATGGAACACCTTGCTGAGCTCTTGGAACATGACACCCTCCCAACACCCTTATGGAACCCCGATCAAAGCTAAACCCTAAACCCTAAACCCTAAACCCTAAACCCTAAACCCTAAAACCTAAGCCCCAAGCCCCAAACCCCAAACCCCAAACCCCAAACCTACTTTTTGGACACCCAGGTGCTCAACATCTTCTATGACTTCTTCGCCAGTCTTCCAGAGACCGGACAGCTCTTGCAGGTCCGAAAACCCTAAACCCTAATTCCTGAACCCTAAACCCTCAACCCTAAACCCTAAACCCTAGCAGGTCCTCGAGGTCAATGGGACGATGATAGCTTTGATGCTGCTCGGCACACTTCGTGACCATGCGGGTTAGTCCCAAGATTTCAATATAATACAATCTTGGTTTGTGCGCAAGCCTTTGAGATTTTTGTCTAGTATATCGAGTTCCTGCACACGATTTTCAAGATCGTCGTAGTGCATTTTCTTGAGAGGGAACAGCAGGGCCTTCAAGGGCCCGGAACCTGCACCCTAAACCCCCTAAATACCAACGTAGCTGAATCTTATGCTTTTCTTCCTTTTCTTTTTCTTGCATGTGTATGCTATTGCAGCCCAACAAGAAACGGTGGTAGTGCATGCAGTGTTTCTAAGCTAGTGTTTCTGTGTTGTTGTTGCTGTGGGCCTGCTGCTGTATGTTCATGTAAGCGAGACACTGTAGGTCTTCTTCATGTCCAAAAACCCTAAACCCTAAACCCTAAACCCTAAACCCTAAACCCTAAACCCTAAACCCCTAAACCCTAAACCCTAAACCCTAAACCCAGACCCAGCAGCCAAGGTTAGGCATGGGTTCAGAGGTCTTGCACTTGCTACATTTCGAGGAGGCGGAAGTATCCCGGAACCGGGACTGGGACGGTGGCTACGTCGAGCTTCTAGGCTGTCAGTAGTAGACAAATAAGCATACATCTATAGACCTACGTACATATGTATATATATATATATATACATATCTGTATACACACACATGCTCACCCGCATGTGTATGCAAACATATACCTACGTCATGTTTTGCTCTGACGTTCTTGTTTTCGCGCCTAACATCAAGCGGTGCAGCCGTGCATGTTTTCTCCAGTGCTCAGTGAAGAGTCCATAAACCCTAAACCCTAAACCCTAAACCCTAAACCCTAAACCCTAAACCCTAAACCCTAAACCCTAAACCCTAAACCCAGGTTTAGTGAGATGAGCCATGACGGTTTTTCCCTTCTGTTTGCCTCCCTGGTGATGTTCGTGCTGACCTACCTCTACGCTGCGATGGCCGACTTCACAGACTCCAGAGGAGACTAGATCCCCCTTGGGAACTATTTTTCTTGCTACTGTTTATATAAAACTATTATCAAAACAAGAGAGGATATTTATCATATTATTTTTATTCAGGGGAGTAGAGGAGACCGGAACCAGAGCGCCTTTCGAGTCTGGTGGTCGTGGAGCCGATTCTGTGTCTTTGCGGTCATGCTCTACGAGCACTACGGTGCCTGGGTTCTTTTGTTAGAGTATTGTAGTAGTTTTTAGGGGTTTTTTAACGTCAAGAAAACCTAGAGACTACTATGGTGCCTGGGTTCTTGTCAGAGTACTGTAGTAGCGGGTTCTTAGAAAGGAGCGTGCATGGTTTGAGTTACCATTACGGGGATCGACCACCCGTCTATCTGTCTTGCTGCGTATCTGCCTATCTGTCCGTCTGTCCATCTATCCATCTCTCCTTGTACCCATCCATCCTTCTACCTATCTATCCTTCGATCCACATCCATCCATGCACCTCCATCGATAGATCGGTCTATCTATCTAATGATCTATCGATCTGTCTGTCCCGTCCCTTCTTCCTTCCCTCCTCTTCTTCCTCTTCTTCCTCCTCCTGCAACTTGGTCTAAACCCTAAACACGTTTTCGGAGCTGCTCTGTGATGTGGGGGAGGGGGGGCTGCAGTTACTGCTGCTAGCCATTCCATTCTATCCATCTGTCCATGTATCTATCTACACGTGTAAACGCTTATGCTGTAATCAACGGGCCTTCCCTATCTGTGTGACTTTCAGAAAGCTCCCCAAAGAAGAGCCCAGCGGCCCTCCGCGTTTATCAGCGGGCTAGGGTTTTTAGGGCTCAGGGTTTAGGGCTCACTGCAGGGTAACCCTAAACCCTAAACCGTAAACCCTAAACCCTAAACCCTAAACCCTAAACCCTAAACCCTAAACCCTAAACCCCAAACCCTAAACCCCAAACCCCAAACCCTAAACCCTAAACCCTAAACCCTAAAACCCTACCCGAGAGAACGAAAGCCTCTCGCGCCATGGTCTCGGCCTTTTGACCCGCCGCCTCCCACCACAGCGACGCAACAGCATGCCCACGGCTCTCGCCGGCTATCTCTGGCAGGCATGGTCTTGGGCATATGCAGCCTCCTCCTTTGGACTGGCGTTCACGGCCTCCCTGCCGGCCACATGCCGCGAAAGCTTGCGACATGCAGCCGTCACTTGCAGCGGGGGGGAGGCGTACTACTTCACGCCAGGCTTTGGGCCGCTAAGCCTTGGCTGGGGCTGGCTACTTGTGGGCGTGCTGGTCGGCGCACTCTTCGCCAAGCTTCTAACAGCTTGGATACTCCTTTCCTCCCCAGCTGGGCTTGCGGATGCCACGTGGCGCGAGGCGCTGGCCACATGCGCAGCTCACGAACCGCATACTCCCCGGCGGCATGTGCTCCAATACTTGTCGCAAGGGGGGGATGCCGCGCTGCGGGACTTGGCCACGGCTTCCAACGAACCGCCAGCCAGCGTGCTTGCCAGGGCGTTGCGCTCAGAAGCCCCCTCCCATCACCGGCCATCACCCCAGCGCCAGCGGCGCGCGTGAGCCGATGGCGGCCTCCCCACATGCGGGGTGGCACTCGCTACAGTGATGTCGAGGAGGCAGCGCAAAACGGCCCGTCGCAGGCGAGCCCGCAACCCAGCCCCTTCAGTCAGCTACCGCCGGCGCCCACGCTTCCCGACACTGGCCCGTCAAGCGAGCCCCTGTGCCCGCCAAGTGACGAGCCTATCGCTGCGCCCACGCAACGCGACCCCTCCTTCCAGGAGTCGCCGCTTGCCCCAGGCCCGTCGTGCGAGCCTTTGCGCCCGCAAAGTGACGCGCCTTTACGCGCATTGAGCCCCGGTCGGAGCTCGGTCCCAAGCGAGCCCTTGCCCGCACCGGCCTCACACTGGGCGCAGCTTGCGGCACGTGACATCGCAGACAGGGCTCACCGGGCTGGCCACGTCCCCATCGGGGCGGAGTTGTCAGCACAAGCCCGTCATGCACTCACGAGCCGTGGCTGGTCCGCCCTTTATAACGGCCTAATCTGGAGCGCGGCCGCAGACTGCGCGTCGGACCCAGTGGTCGAGTGGCTCCAACAAGCCGCCGCCGGGCTCCCTGACCTTGTGGATGTGGGTGGCACGTCTTTGCCTGGTCCGTCGGCGGTCAGGGAGGCTTGGCTGTGCCTGCGTGGCGCGCTGCGCCGCTGGCGCGTGCATGGTGCTGGGGCTCTGGGTGACTGGCTTGTCCGCGAAGGCCTTGAAACCCGTTGTGTGCGGCCCTGGACCTACCTCAACCGGCGCTCGCAGGAGTACGTCCTCGGGCAGGCCGGCCGGTCACATCCGGGTGTGGCATCGCTGGAAAACTTGTTTGCTGCCATCACTTTACACATTGGCCGCCACCCTCACCGTCTACCTCCAGCCTCGCTTGTGCGGGCTCCAAGGCACGGCCGCAACGGGCCACGGGCTAGCCCGGCTGCCTCCCCTCCTCAAGCATCGCTGGGGACGCCGGGGTCGCCGAGCAGCAATCTTTGGGAGCTCCCGCTTGCCACCGCCTGGCACGTGTGGGGCCCAATCGCGGCGGAGTATGAGGCATGGGTTCGTGCCCACTCTGCGCTGCGTCCCGCCACGCTGCCGCGAACGCCTCACACGAGTGACCCATGCCATCGCCCGAAGCATCTACGCGGCAGCAGACGAGGCATCGGCAGAGCAGGCCTTCCTGCTCCTGCTTGCCCACCATCGCCTGTTGCTTGCGGCGCCTGTGCGCGTTCGGGTGTGGGCTCGGGGCACGCGTGGGCGGGCTGAGCGGCGCAGCATGCACGATGAGCAGGCTGCTTTGGTGGACGAGAGACTCGACCTCTTCGAGCGGGGTTGCTGGGACCAACTTTTGTCTCAGCTGGCCTCGCTCGCAGAAGGGGCTGCGCCCACCGTCGATGCCTCACAGGCGACCACGCAGCAGGAGGCCGAGGACCTCAACGCGGCCGCCGCGCTGCAGCTGGCTCGCGCTGGCGAGTTCAAGCGCGCCGTGCAGCGCCTTAGCTCGCCGGGCCTCGCGCCTGGCACGGCCCTCGAAGTTGCTGCAGCCCTACGGCAAAAGTTTGTGCAGCAGCCTTCGCCTCAGGCTCAGGCGCAGGAAGGGTCGTTCACGGCTCCTCGCTCCTCGCGGCCACAAATCCTCTCTCCCGACAGTGTCCAGCTTGCGTTGCGCTGCGCGCCTCGCAAGACCGGGGCAGGGGTGAGTGGTAGCCGGCTGGAACATTGGCAGGTCCTGCTCCGGGATGCTGAAGCCCTGCAAGCGCTCCACCGTGTGCTTGAGGATGTCGCTCACGGCTGTGTGCCCGGTGGCCGGCTCGGGCTCCCTGCTACAGCCCTCTTACTTGGAGGCCTCCCGCTCGCAAAGGCGGGCGGCGGTGTGCGGCCCATTGCAGTACCAGAACCCCTCCGCCGCCTCTTAGCCCGAGCTGTCACGACGCAGTTCCGGGACCACATCGCTGCCGCCTTGAGCCCCCTCCAGTGCGCCGTAGGCTTGCCAGGCGGTGTCGAGGTCGCCCACAAAACCGTCACCTCCTTCGCGGCCCTTCACCCGGACCATGTGTTCCTGAAGTTCGACATTGCAAATGCCTACAACTCCATTTGGCGATCCGCATGTGTCGAACAAGCTTCTCGGGACGTGCCGGCGTTGGCCAACCTCTGGAGACTGTGCTACTGCCGTGGGGACCGGGCCTCGCGCTATTTGTTCCGCCGTGCGGGCTCTGCGCATTGGATTCAGTCTAATGCGGGGGTCGACCAAGGCGACGGACTGGCGCCGGCCCTTTTTGCTTTCCGCATCAAACCCTGTGCGGAGGCCCTCCTCGCGCACCTGACGGCACACGCTGCTGGGCGGCCTGTTCTGGTGACTTTGTACCTGGACGACATCGTGGTCGCAGTACCAGCTGACATGGCAGCACAGGCTGCCGAACTCACAGCAGCTGCAGTCGGGGACGGGCTGCCAGGGCACGCGGGGGCGGGGCTCCAGCTCGCGCCAGACATGACCATGGCATGGAGCCCGCGTGCAGCGCGCCCGCCTGACGTACCGCCTGCACTTGGAAGGAAGAGGGCTTCGTCTTTCTGGGCAGCCCAGTTGCTGGGGAAGATGAGCCCTCGGCAGCCTTCCTCCGCGCCGGAGTCTCGCTTGGCTCCAACAACGCCATGCAGCAGCATTGGCATGCCGCGGTCGATGGGTGTGTCGCGCTGCTTGCCAAGCTCCGGCATGCTCACTCTCGACGCGCGGAAGCTGGGCAGGCGCAGGGCGAAGCCGTCCTCAACGCCTCTCAACTCTGCCAGCTCATGCTTCGCCTGTGTGTCGAGCCCAAACTCGTCCACCTCCTCTGCGCCTCCCCACCAGGTTGCCTGGGGCACGGGCCGGCGCTCATGGATGCGACCTTGCAGGCCGCCTTTGCCAGCATTACGGAACTGGGCCCGCTCCAGCCTCACCACCTGGAGCAAATGTCGCTGCCTGCGCAGCAAGGCGGTTGCGGCGTCGGGGCCCTATCTCTCAAGCATGGCGCAGCCTTCGCAGGGAGCTGGGCGCTGTGCCTTGCCCCGGTCTTAGCACGGCTTCCTGTAGCAGATGCCGCCGGCATCATGACAGCTCTGCAGGTTAACGACAGGACCCACCCCGTGGCAGCGTCGCTCCTACTTGCGCAACACGTGCTGCGCGCCAGCGGCGTATCGTCTGCCAAGTTGCCTGACTGGGGCGCGGTTGCCAAAGCGCCACGTCGGGGCTGTCAGCACACCCTCTCCGCTGCTGCCGCCGTCGCCGCCAGAGAACGCTTGCTCGCCGGGCTCGAGCTGCGCGACGCAGCCCGCGTCCGGTCTTGCGGCGGCGACGGAGCCGGGCAGTTCCTTGTATGCCCTGCGCGCGAAGGCTGGCGTACTGAACTCTTCGATGGAGCGTTCTGCCACGCCGTTCGCTGGCGCCTGGGTGTGCCGACCACCTCAGCGGGCCAAACCTGCCACATCCGCTGCCAGGCGTCGGGCGGACGCTGTGCACAACCACTGGACCCGCTGGGCCACCACGCAGTCGTGTGCAAATACGGGGGATTCAAAACGTTTCGCCACTCCCGTCTTGTCCACGAACTGCGCGGTGTGCTCCGCGAGTCCGGGGCCGTTGTGCCGGCCCGTGAAGTTGAGGTGCCCGGATGGCAGCGTGCTGATGGCACGCGGGCGCGGCTAGACGTCGCGTTCGCGTGGGCAGGCCGTGAGTGCTATGCAGACGTCACCATCCGGCACCCATGCGCCGCCAAGTATGTCCGACAGGCGGGTGCGCAGGACGGGGCCGCGCTTCGTCTTGCGGAGGCTGGAAAGCGGTCGCGCTACCCTGCGGTCGCCGCCGCAGGGCTGGATGCGGTCGAGCCCTTCGCCGTTGAGACATTCGGCCGGCTCGGGCCGAACGCGGTGCGCCTGCTCCGGACGGCGCGGCAGCAGGCGGCGGAGCAGCAGGCCCCGTACGCACGCTGGGCGGGCCCTGCCTTGCACCAGAAATGGCTCGCGTCCCTCAGCTGCTCGCTTCAGCAGGCCCTGTATGAGGCCTCGAGAGCTAGCTGGGGGTCGCGGGCCATCGCCCCTCCCGAAGCTGACCTGAGTGGGTTCGGGCGTTAGGGGTAGGTTGGGCCGTTTGTGGCACTTTCACTAGTCTCACACAGAGACCCTAAACCCTAAACTAGCCTCTGGGGCTTAAAAAGCGAGCCGAGGTATCTTCCGCCTGTATCAGGCGCAGCCTCGCTTGTACTACCTGCAGCACGAGACCTCCGACGAAGCGGCCTGGAAGCTCTGGAAGTTGCAGGAGGCCTTGTGCTACGTGGCCATAGGCCGGCCGGGTTGAGTGCTTCCGGGTTTAGGGTTTAGGGTTTAGGGCTTCGGGCTTTTCACTCCTGGTTGAGGGTTTTCGGTTTCGGGTTAGGGCTTTGCGTTGAGGACGCCCTTCGTTTCTCAGAGTCCCAATGGGTGTACTTAGAGCCATACTTGGACCTTGCCCAAGCCCACAAGCAATTCCAGCCCGTGAGACTCCCAAGACACCCCAACATGTGCACGCCACCTTGGCGGGAGCACGATTTCGGGAGAGCGGAACCGTGCTGGAGCGTGACGGGACCATGACAGGTACCCGACGTGGGACACTGTGGCGGGAGCACGTTTGGAGATTTTTGCGAAAACTCCAAAGCCCAACGGAAATGAACACGCGCTGAAGATGAGGGCTTCAGGGTAGTTGGGTTTGGGTTTTAGGATTTAAGGTTTTGGGGCCTACCTCTGCTGCACTCGACAAAGCTCGAAAAGCGAACCGCCTATTGGAGCGTCAGCCTTAAACCTTAAACCCTAAACCCTAAACCCTGAACCCTTAAACCCTAAGACAGGTTTTGGCGAATGCTTCCCGGTCGTTGTGCTGAGCTTGGCATTGTTCCGCAAGCAGCAACTTCCTAGCTGAATGAGTGCGCTTTATACCCTTTTTGGGATACCATAATCCCTATAAGGGATACCATAATCCCTATAGAACCCTAAACCCTAACCCTAAACCCTCAACCCTAAACCCTAAACCCTAAACCCTAAAACCCTAAACCTTCAGCCCTCAGCCCTCAACCCTCAACCCTAAACCGCAAACAGCTAAGGCAGGTGTTGCAGCGTAGCGACAGCCTGAGCAACGCGAGCTCGCAGGAGACAGCGCGCTGGATGTGGGCATACTCCATTCCGGTCTTCAACTTGGTGTATGATGCCTAGTAAGGTTTAGGGTTTAGGGTTTAGGGTTTAGGGGTTAGGGTCTAGGGTTTAGGGGGGTTTAGGGTTCAGGGATTAGGGTTTAGGGTTTAGGGTTTAGGGTAATAGAGTAGCCTGTAACCTTTTTTGGGGTAGTATCATCCCCCTCTAATCCCAAAGGTTAACCTTTAATCCCCCCAGGTTACTGGACAACTAAGGATGTCTTGTTGGACCATACGCCGGAGTGGGACCAGATTGTGGCGATGATGAAGACCTTCCTTTTCCTGGCTGGCTTGCTGATGCAGATGGCGCTCAAAGTCTTGCTGCTGTTCCCATACGATGAGGCCGCCATCGTGCAGCAGAGGAGCTGGCTTGGAACTTATGAAAGCTACCGGGTAGCCCTTGGGACATTTCACATCTTTCTTGTTAAGAGGATCTTTTGCCTTAAGCCCTAAGCCCTATAAACCCTAAACCCTAAACCCTAAACCCTAACCCCAAACCCTAAACCCCAAACCCTAAACCCTAAACCCTAAACCCTAAACCCTAAACCCTAAACCCTAAACCCTAAACCCTAAACCCTAAACCCTAAACCCTAAACCCTAAACCGCCGTATTTTTCAGAGGCTATGAAGGCCAGCCTAGGCTATGAGTTCTGGAGCCATTCGGCCTGGCTCCTGGGCACATGCGGCCTCGCCACCTTCTTCTACGTGGCGCAGTTTGCGGCCATGACCTCCTTCAAAAGGGATCCTTCCTTAGCCAATAGTTGAGCTTTCAATCTTTTGGGCTTCCTTACTTAGTAAGTAAGAAGAATGCAGCTTAACAATTTTTTCCCTTGGTTCTTGGCGAAGTAAGGATCCGGAAGACACCGAGATCAATCGGAGCGCGCTTTCCGGTTGGTGGTATTGGGCTCGCTGGTGCATTGTGCTGTTGTTGCTGGATGCATTGGGCGCAGGGCTGGCGATAATCAAATCAGCCCAGGAGGCTTATGTTCTACAGCATTCCCGCACAAGAGAAGAGGCAGAAGAGTTGGCAGCTGCTTTCCTCCCTGTGACTTTGACAGTGCTCCCCCTTGGGATAGTGCTTCCGATCGTCATACTGTCCGTGTCACTCATGCGCACGCAGAGCTACTCCAACCCTCCTGTGGGTGCCAGTGACCACAACGAGAGCGATGTCACCAAAGTCAGTACTAGGCTGTACAGGGTCGCAGGTATAAACGTCCTGTATGACCTCTTCTTCGACAAGCCTCCAGCGGTGAACCAAATCGCTGAGATGCTCTACATCTTTGGGGTGCTCAATGCTTTCTTGCTTTCCATCCTTCTACCTCTCTTGATTAAGTTTGGAGAGCCAGATGACGTGGATTTGGCAAGGAGTCGCAACTGGGTCGGAAACTATGACAGCCACCGGAACTACAGCTCTCTGGGCCTCGCCTGTACCATGTCTGCTGTGTGGCAGATCCTACTGACGTATGTCAGCACCCAAGCTTCATCCCGCCTCGAGGGTGCGGAGGTGAAGAAATGGTGGTCCCTCGTGAGATGGCTGGTTATCAGCATTGGTGTGTTTTCATGGTTGGGCCTGGTTCTGCTGGTCTTGGCCAGCCTGCAGTGCTACATCATGCAGCACGCGGCCGCCGCGCAGGAAGCGGCGCAGCTGCAGTCGCAAGCGACGATGTTCTGCCTGATGCTCTTTGGCCCTGCGGCTTTCTTGCCGCTCCTGCTTCTTTCCTTAGGGGTTCGGAGTCGGCAAAGGGAGCATGACAATGCAGAGCAGCCACGGGCATCGAAGAATCGTCAGAGGAAGGGTGAGGAAGACGACCTCTGTGATGCTATGTCGGACCTGAACAAGTGCTCGAATGATCTTGGTGTGGAGACGTTCTCAACCCATGATGCTGCTGAGACGATGGTGTCTTCCTTCTTCGCGGCGCCCGGCCTAGAGACTCAGATGAGCCTGTATGAGCGGGACGTGAATGAGCCGATGTGCCGGGTGATATTTAAAGAGCCAGGTGTGGACCTGCCAAGCCACGAGGTCCTTGCAAAACCCTGGATGGGTGTGCAAGGAGTGGCCGTCGCTGTGTCTACGCAGGCGCCGATTTCTGAGATGCAGCTGCAGATGTATGCGGAGAACATCTGTGAACCCATGTCCTTGGAGAATTTCTAGCAGCATCTGCAAAGCAGAAGATGCCCCGTTTTAGCATTTACTCTAGCAGCCACATGAATTCGACATCCCTGCCGCAGGTCCGGTGTGGGTTATGCAGGTTTGTGCCAGGAGGTCCCGGAGTGTGACATTGGAGCGCCCTTCGCCTTGGTTTGTCTGGTCTCAGGTCGATTAGGGTGTAGGGTTTAGGGTTTAGGGTTTAGGGTTTAGGGGTTTAGGGTTCCCTACGATTGCAAGGATACTCATGGCTTCAAAGGGCTGAGCACGACTACAGTGACTACACACTCCCGAGCGCCTTCCGCAAGCCTTTAAATCTTTTCAGCAGCATAAGGGTTTAGGGTTTAGGATTCAGGGTTTACGGTTTATCCCCTAAAGCCTGAACCCTAAGCCCTACACCTAATCGCCAAACTCCACGCCGAAGCCCCGAAACCCCAAATTCGACGCTCTAATTCGTGCAAGCGTGCCACATTCCGCTTGGAGACGTTGGATCGGAGTGGCTCCATGACGTCCGGTGCCAACCAGATCTTCTCAACAGAGCTTAGGGTGTAGGGATTAGGCTTACTATTCTCATTCCTTTAACGGGCCTAGGGGGTTGTCTTTACAGGCCATTAAAGGGTTTAATGGGTTTCCCCTTTGAAGGGCTTTGTGGGATTTCGGCTCCCTGTGGGCATTGAAGAGCCTATGCTAATTGTCCTTGTTGTCGTTTTGCTGGTTACCTTTGCTTCAGTTCTCAGTCTTCCTATCAATATGTCAGAAGAAACCTTTAAAAAAACCTGAACCCGAAGTAACCCTGCATCCTAAAACCCATCCCCTGAAAAAGGAGCCCTTCACTTAACAGGGACTCTTGGGGGAGATCTGGGCAAGACATTGAAGATGATAGGCTCGCGGGGCCTGGTTGCCAACCTCCTTGAAGCTTCCAAAGCCAAGACACGATCTCGAGCGCAAAAAACCGAGCTGTAGGGTTTAGGGATGTTTAGGGTTTAGGGTTTTGCAGGAATATGGCTTGCATTAACTAAAGATCCTGCAAGTAGCATGATGTCAGGTATATTCCGTGAGTACAGGCTTGCGGGCTTTCTGGGCAGTCATGCACTCTTCCTGCGTGTTGAGCTCACTAGAAGGATTGGGGCACTTCGTAATTAGGGATAAGTACGTTAATTGGGGTTATAAGTAGCTATAAGTATAGTTCCCTTATTTTTGCATGTAGCATGCAGCCACACGATGTCCTTGAGGCTAAAGGAACGAACATCTTCAAGCCAAGCAAGCTTTGGCTGCTTACGGTGGAGTGTGTGTGGTACGGCATGCTGGGCATGTGATGAGTGTGTGTACGGTGGGTACGGTGGCGCGGGCGCGGGCGGAAGGGTGCACGGCGGACAGTGCCCTCCTACTTCTTCCACCCTTTGAGAGCACCCATGCATTTCCGTAGAGTGCAATGCAACGAGTGCCATTGTTGGGCACGTCAGATAACATCAGCATACTCAAGCAGCAGCCCTAGTTTTGAAGCCTGGCGGTTTCGTTGGAGTGGAGGGCTGGAAGGGGTGGGCGCAAAGATAGACTCGGATAGACGCAGCTGTGCAGCACAACATTGCCCCAAACGCGACTTGCATCCACATCTCGCGAATGTTCGAGATATGATAGACTGGCTTGTCTTGAACCCTAAACCCTAAACCCTAAACCCTAAACCCTAAACCCTAAACCCTAAACCCTAAACCCTAAACCCTAAACCCTAAACCCTACACCCTAAACCCTAAACCCTAAACCCTGATGTTTTTGGGGCGAGCTTTACCCCAGGCTTGATTTTTGAAGAAGTCGATGTTTGCAAGTTGACGTTGGCACGCTTGGGCCCTGTTCGGCTCTGTTGGGGGCCCAGGTCTGCCAGGCAATGCCAGTGGCGGTGAGGGTTTAGGGTTTAGGGTTTAGGGTTTAGGGTTTAGGGGTTCGGGGTTTAGGGTTTAGGGTTTAGGGTTTAGGGTTTAGGGTTTAGGGTTTAGGGTTTAGGGTTTAGGGTTTAGGGATGTATGTTTTATCATGACCCTGCCTGACACATGGGTGGTTGTCAAAATTATGATCCCTTTTTTGGATCCCTATTATAATGCGGCACCTAATATTTAGGGTACCCCAAAAGGGATCGATCTGGGAAGATGGGGAGTTTCCCTGCGGGGGTGGAAAAGGTAACGTGGGCGCAGTGAATGTCTTGGGGTTGAGCGTTTACTTAGAAATGCCTACGAATGGGTAGCTGTGAAAGGCAGTCTCGAACAACGGATTGCAGTTTGACCTTTCCCAGGCATGGACACGATCTTTGTGCCGCATTGTCAACCTCTGATCTTTTTGTGCAATTGCATGAATCACCCCATGCTGTTCGGATGCTCCTGTTTTCAAAGCATCCACGAGTGTTGTGCATAGTTCACGAATACGCCTTTCGATGTGACAGTGGCTGTGGCCGTTTTGCTTGGTGTATCCCGCAGCTCAATCAATCCTGCACCCAGTTCCCAGGCTGGGATTGTCCCTAAACCCTAAACCCCAAACCCTCAACCCTAAACCCTCAACCCTAAACCCTAAACTGCGGGGCTCGGCTGGCACTTCTCGCGAACGGCAACGAAGAGTGACTATGCCCTCCCCCCGAATGCGAACCCGTGGGGGGTTTCATATTGGGTGGGGGGGGGTTTAATATTAGGGGGAGCCCCTAAACCCTAAACCCTAAACCCTAAACCCTCAGCCCGAAACCCTAAACCCTAAACCCTAAACTGTAGCCCTGAACCCTAAACCCGCCCGCCACCCCACTCTCTTGTCTTTTGGGGTAGGCGGGCGCTGGTCGAGCGCTCAGTGAGACCCTGCGAGGGAGCCCCAGGCGGGCGACCGAGCTGGCCTCCAGGCTGGCTTACCCTCCAGGCAGGCACAGGCCGAGTCAGCAGTTGTCACTGTTTTTTCTTATATTACCCTAAACCCCAGCTGTCCGCGCACTTGGTTGGGTCCTGCATTGGAGGGCCCCCTGGGACGGCCCCTTGAGACCCCTGGTCCCTCACCCCCGTCCGCTGGGTTGAGGGGACTAGGGGCCGTTTTGTTGGGGCAGGCAGGGCTCTTGGCCAAAAATGAGTTCTGGTTCTGGGTTCTAACCCTGGCCCTGGTTGGCCCTGGCCCTGGCCCTGGCCCTGGCCCTGGCCCCTGGCCCTGGCCCTGGCCCTGGCCCTGGCCCTGGCCCTGGCCCTGGCCCTGGCCCTGGGCCCTGGCCCTGGCCCTGGCCCCTGGCCCCTGGCCCCTGACTCTGGCCCCTGGCCCTGGCTTCTGGCCCTGGCCCTCCTGGTGCTGGCGCTGCGCCCTGGCCCTGACCCGGCCCTGGCCTTGGACATGGTTGCTGGCCTGGCCTTGGCCCTCCCTGGCGCTGGCCGGCCCTGGCCCTGGCCCTGACCCTAGCCCTGGCCCTGGTGCCCTTTTCCCTGCCTGACCCTGACTCCGCCACATTGCCGCTGGCCCTGGCCGGCCCTTGCCCCGGGACCTACTCCTGACTAGTTTTCTGACGGGATCCTGGCCCGGGCCCTCTGGCCTGTTCGAGGCAATCTTACCCCCCTTTTTGTGCGGGCCCGAGCCCCTAGCCCTGTCGGCTTCGGGTTCTGGTTCTGGTTCTGGCCTCCCTGGCCCTGGCTCTGGTCCCTGGCCCTGGCCTCTGTCCTGTTCGAGGTCATCTTACCCCCTTGCGCAAAGCCAAGCTGTCCGCGCACCAGTTTGTGTCCTGTTTCGGGGCGCTCTCCCTCTCTGGCTTTCGCCCAAGTCCTGCCGTTTGCTGCAACTTTGTGCCTGGTCCTGACCCTGGCCCGGCACCCCACCTTACCCCCTTCGCGCCAAGCCAAGCTATCCGCCACACCAGCCCTGTTTCCGTGGCGCTCTGCCCAACCCAAGCTGTTCACTGTGTGTTCTTCCTCGCCAACCAAGCCTCGCTGCCTTTCTCTGTTCCTGGCCCATCCCTTAGCCCCTTCGCGCCAACCCAAGCTGTCTTCACGGACCCTGCCTCGTTTCCGTCTGCTGCAGCTTTGCGCCTGGTCCACGCACCTTGTGGAAATCCCCAAAAAGGGCGTGAGTGCTGACTCATGTGATGCTTTGTAAAAAAATAAAAGGTCTTAACTCCTTGAGAGTTGCAAGTGGGCGGTCTTGGGGTGGGTAGGTCTGCAGACTACCGCGCGCTCCCAAAGCGCGCTGCCGTCTGGCACGCCCTAAACCCTAAACCCGAAACCCTAAACCCTAAACCCTAAACCCCAAACCCCAATAACCCTAATTTCGGACACCCCACCTGGCAGGTTCATAAGGGCAGCGCCACCGCCACCTCCTCCTGCGCCGGCAATGGTACAACAACCAGGCGTTGGGCTCTTCGCCCCCTCTCATGGCAAGCGCTACACTGGAACCCTCCCTAGACACTAAACCTTAAACCTTAAACCTTAAACCTTAAACCAAACCCAAACTCTGGACCCTAAAACCCTAAACCATCCTTGCAGGCGCTGCAGCTGAAGGATGAAAGTTGTGGACATGCTGGCTGGGATGTTTGTGCTGAGACTTATGCGATCAGGCGTGCCCTGCACCATACGTCATCATGGGCGATGGACGAGAGTCAATCAGCACGTTTCATGCTTCCCACATCTCAGTGACAGGCATGTAGCATGACTGGCGTTACTTTTGCAGGCACATTGGGTTCGAAAGGCTTTTTGATAAACCAGAACTTGCGGCCATGGCTTTGCTTCGTTCCGCATCCCTGCGTGCGAGCCTTAGTGCCGCTCGTGCAGTCAGTGTGCTACCCCGAGCCCTTGGTGTCGCCAGCCAAGCTCCCACGGCTCCAATGGCCTTGGCACCATCGTCGCCGCTGAGCGCTTCCACCCCTCTCCCAGGTCTCGGCGCCCCGCTGACGAAGCGCCATGCGGGAGTCTCCGTCTTGGGCTGCGCCATCGCCATGGTGGCTGTTGGCGGTTGTGCGCAGGGCATTGGCCAGCTTTTCGCGGCGCTGGTGGTGGGCATGGCACGCAACCCATCCATGAAGGAGGACCTCTTCACCTACACGCTGATTGGTATGGGCTTCCTGGAGTTCTTGGCCATTGTGGTCATCCTGATCGCGGGCCTTCTCCTGTACTCGGAGTGAGGGGCAGTGAGAGCAGCGCTTCAGCGCCGAGTGCCCTCAGGCTTATCAGTTTCTCCAGGTGTCATTTCACGCTAGATGCTCATTTGTTTGGCTTATAGAGTATGTTCAGTCTGATAGTCGACGAACTGGTGCCATGCAGAGGAAGGAGAAGAAAAGTGCATCAAAGGGTATCTGCTTTGCTGCACCTTGCCTGGGCCCTTGACCCCAAAATTGGCAGTGTAGCAGTGTGTAGCATGACTGGCGTTACTTTTGCAGGCACATTGGGTTCGAAAGGCTTTTTGATAAACCAGAACTTGCGGCCATGGCTTTGCTTCGTTCCGCATCCCTGCGTGCGAGCCTTAGTGCCGCTCGTGCAGTCAGTGTGCTACCCCGAGCCCTTGGTGTCGCCAGCCAAGCTCCCACGGCTCCAATGGCCTTGGCACCATCGTCGCCGCTGAGCGCTTCCACCCCTCTCCCAGGTCTCGGCGCCCCGCTGACGAAGCGCCATGCGGGAGTCTCCGTCTTGGGCTGCGCCATCGCCATGGTGGCTGTTGGCGGTTGTGCGCAGGGCATTGGCCAGCTTTTCGCGGCGCTGGTGGTGGGCATGGCACGCAACCCATCCATGAAGGAGGACCTCTTCACCTACACGCTGATTGGTATGGGCTTCCTGGAGTTCTTGGCCATTGTGGTCATCCTGATCGCGGGCCTTCTCCTGTACTCGGAGTGAGGGGCAGTGAGAGCAGCGCTTCAGCGCCGAGTGCCCTCAGGCTTATCAGTTTCTCCAGGTGTCATTTCACGCTAGATGCTCATTGGTTTGGCTTATAGAGTATGTTCAGTCTGATAGTCGACGAACTGGTGCCATGCAGAGGAAGGAGAGGAAAAGTGCATCAAAGGGCATCTGCTTTGCTGCAGCTTGCGTGGGCCTTTGACCCAGCCTGTGCAAAGAACCGCAAGCGGCAACCCTAAACCCTAAACCCTAACCCTAAGCCCTAAGCCCTAAACCCTAAACCCTAAGCCCTAAACCCTAAACCCTAAACCCTAAACCCCAAACCCTAAACCCTCAGACCCGCAGCCACGCTCCCATGGCAGGTTCTGCACCAAGGAGCTGAAGCCGCTTCCGCGTACGTTCTTTGCGTGCCCCCCTTTTGTTGTGAGAGCGGCCTTCCCGCAAACCTTAAAGTTTAATTGGGGTTTAGGGTTGAGGGTTTGGGGTTTGGGGTTTGGGGTTTAGGGTTTAGGGTTTAGGGCCCTAAAGCGCCAGTCCCTGCATCGTTTGTCTGAAGCCCTGGGTGGGGTGCGAGGTATCCGGCACAGAACCCGGCGCACCAGTTCAAGTACTTCACACAGCGCGCCTCCTGGTTGTCCCGCTTCGAAGTTTTCAGCGATGTGTTCATTTCTGCATGCCAGGTTGGTGGTGTGGGCAATGGGCATCTTGAACATGAAGGCGCCCGTCACCGTCATGGAAAAAGCTGACAAGCAATCTTTTTCTGGTGTGAGATCCGCTGTGTCAGAAAGTGTTAAGTGCTCGCAGCCGAGCCGTCTTGTGGTTTCACGTTAGCTTCGTCTGAGCTGCGTGGCCACGAATCCACGTCAGCCCTCTAGAACCATCCTTATGAGCACCCTAAACCCTAAACCCTAAACCCTAAACCCTAAACCCTAAACCCTAAACCCTAAACCCTAAACCGTAAACCCTAAACCCTAAACCCTAAACTCTCCGTGTGAGGCGGATTGGGATGAGTTCGACGATCCCAATACGGTGATCACAAATATGCTGGTCATCTTGCCCCCTGGCCTGCAAGCTGCCCTAAACTGCCCTAAACCTTAAACCCTAAACCCTAAACCCTAAACCCTAAACCCTAAACCCTAAACCCTAAACCCTAAACCCTTCACACCCAAGCCCGAAATGCACACAGAGAACGCTCCTTCTTGCAAGCCGTGCCTGGCCTTGAGCAGTCAAGGAAGGACATGGGGTTGCAGGCCCCTGGCTCAGTGAGTGTGTGAAGTCAGAGCCGTCTGTATCCGTACCCCTCAGACCAAAGAAAGGTTTTAGGGTTTAGGGTTTAGGGTGGGTCAAGGCTTCTTTGGGGTTCTGGGTATCATATTCTGTTTCTGAGTGAAGGTGGGTTGGGTCTTTGTGGCTACTTGTAGCAGACCTTCAGTTCACGGCCCGTGCGTGCCACCGGATCGCAGTAGCAGCAGCACCAGCATATGCAGTCAAGGCCCAGTAACCCAAAAATTGAGGCCCGAAACCCCCCTGACGGTCTAACGCCCTCAGCCTCGCAACTTCATGATATCAAACACTTAAACACAGTGAACTATCAGGGTTTAGGGCTTAAGGGATTTTAGTGCTGTAGTTTAGGGCTTAAGGGGTTTTAGTGCTGTAGCTTAGGGCTTAAGGGGTTTTAGTGCTGTCGCTTCTTTAGCCTTTTGGGTTTAGGTTGTTGTTGGGATCAGCTGCATCGAAGCTCGCTGATGGCAACGTTGGCTGCCGGCTTTGCCAGCTTTGCCAGCTTGTCGCAGGAGATCTCTTGCCTTTCTTGTTTCTTGTGTGTGCTTGAGAGAGACAGGGTGAGAGACAGGGTGAGAGACAGGGTGACAGAGAGAGAGACAGAGAGAGAGACAGAGTGAGAGAGAGGGGTGCCCCGTAGAAGAAGAAGAGGAAGAAGAAGAAGAGGAAGAAGAAGAAGAAGAGGAAGAAGAAGAAGACGAAGAAGAGAGAGCCAGAGAGAGTGTGTGTTGTAGTGTTCGACGGGTGTTCTGTTCAGGTGATAGTTTCATCTCATACCAGCTTCAGTAGCCGCTGCTAGATGGGAGCAGCCTCGGCCTAGTGTGTGGGTCAGGCTTTAGGCTTTAGGGTTTAGGGTTTAGGGTTTAGGGTTTAGGGTTTAGGGTGACGGCACCTTCGCATGCAGGATGAGCAGGAGACGATTCGCCACAAGCAGAAGCAGGCCAGCCGCGCTTAGCTACAGTCAATGCCATTCTGGCCCCTCAACCCTAAACCCTAAACCCTAAACCCTAAACCCTGAACCCTAAACCCTGAGCCCTAAACCCTAAACCCTAAACCCTGTTCCCAAGAAACGCTCAAATCGCCTTGCCTTCCGCAAGGCGCAGCTGAAGAAGAAGGCCAGATGGCCCCCCAACGAAGCTCTGGGGCAGCTCCGGCCCTAAAGCCTCAAACCTAAACCCTAAACCCTAAACCCTAAACCCTAAACCCTAAACCCTAAACCCTAAACCCTAAAGCCTAAACCCTAAACCCTAAGCCCCCTGAGGAGGCGAAGAAGCAGCGAGGCGCGAGCTCGCTGGCGCAGCCGGTGTGCAGGTCCTAGCTCGGCGTAGTTTAGGGTTCAGGGTTTAGGGTTTAGGGTCTAGGATTTAGGGTTTAGGGTTTAGGGTTTAGGATTTAGGGTTTAGGGTTGAAAGTGTTCCGGGCTTCAAAAACCTCAGCCCTTGACCCTGAACTCTTCAAGATTCTCAGTATGGCGTAGGGTTTAGGGTTGAGGATTTGGTTGAGGGATTCGGGTTAAGTCCCACAGGGCTGTTTTCCAAAATTGGGAGGGGGGTTTAGCACTTTTAGACCCCCAAATAGAATAGAATCCCCCTTTAAAGGGACCCGCCCCCCTCCCCGCAACGTTAAAGTCATGATAAGAACAATTCAACAATGATAAGTTTACCTGTGGAAGCAAAACATGTCCCATTCTCCACGCCCTAAGCCCTAAACCGTGAACCCTGAACCCCAAACCCTAAGCCCTAAACCCTAAGCCCTAAACCCTAAAACCTAAACCCTAAACCCTAAACCCTAAACCCAAAACCCTAAACCCTATTCTTGTGCGACAGGACCGGCGAGCCTGCCGAGGAGGAGCAGCAGGAACTCAAGCCCAGGCGCGTGGCTTGCAATGCTTTGGGGGGTTGGGGTTTAGGGATTAGGGTTTAGGGTTTAGGGCTTAGAGCTTAGGGCTTAGGGCTCAGGGCGCAGGAGTTTTTTTTGGCAGGAAGTTGAAGATTCAGTTCGACCACGTTCAGATCAACGTGCTGGGGTTTGGTAGGATTGAGCGTGGAGAGTTTCAGAGGCTCTTGGGCCGTGTTTTGTCGTGCTGGAAGGCTTCCGGACAGAACGCATCTGACATTGGAGGACGGCCTTCAGTTTCTTCTGCTGGGGTTTATGGCTTCGGTTTCAGGGTGCATTTTAGGTCGTAGGGGTTACAGCCGTGAGATGTTGGGGCCCGATCCCCCCTAAACCCAAAACCCTAAACCCTAAACCCTAAACCCTACACCCTACACCCTCAACCCTAAACCCTTAACCCTACACCCTAAACCCTAAACCCTAAACCCTAAACCCCTCTTGCGTTCCTCAGCTCCGCCGAGCTCCGAGACAGGGGCCCGAGGCCCAGACCCCAAGGCCCCAGGTCCTGGAAGATCCGTGGAAGTTAGGGTTTGGGGTTTAGGGTTTAGGGTTTAGGGTTTAGGGTTTAGGGTTTAGGGTTTAGGGTTTAGGGTTTAGGGTTTAGGGTTTAGGGTTTAGGGCATAGGGTTTAGGGTTTAGGGAAATGGGGGCTTACGAAAGTAAGGTACCCCGAATACAGTCCCCAAATAGTAGGATTCCCTTACAATAGCCACCCCAATAGGATACCCCTATATTCGCAAACCCCCAAACGAGACCTGCGACTTGTATGAATTTAGGCCTAAAACTCCCTAGAAAGGAATAGGTTTGCGCGGCAGCGCCCCTATGGCGCGAGATGTGTTAAACCCTCAACCCTTAAACCCTGAAAAACCCCTAAACTCCAAACCCTAGACCCTCAACCCTAAACCCTAACCCTAAACCCTAAACCCTAAACCCTAAACCCTAAACCCTAAACCCTAAACCCTAAACCCTAAACCCTAAATCCTAAACCCTCTTCCCTCCCCAGGAGTACTTTGGAGCATGCCCTGCTGGGGTCTTCAAGCAAGCCGGCTTGAAGGCGTGTGAGGAGAGCCTCGCCCTCCTCCTCAGCGCTTTGGCAGTTAGTTTAGGGTTTAGGGTTCAGGGTTTAGGTTTCAGGGTTTAGGGTTTAGGGTTTAGGGGTAGAGGGTTTAGGGTTTAGGGTTTAGGGGTAGAGCGTTTAGGGGTAGAGGGTTTGGGGTTTAGGGGTAGAGGGTTTAGTTAGGGTTTAGTGGGGCTGGGGGCTAGGGTAGTTTTGGGCTTTGCTGCCTTAATGTTTCAGAGCTTCAGCGCCGGAAACCCAAAATCATGGGATGAAGACTCGTACCCCTAAGGTTGTACCCCTAAAGGTTCCCCTGAAAAAAATATTCCCAATATGGCCCTTATACTACCTCAGGGATCCTCACAAAGGGACTCCAAAACGTAAGGGTACAACCTCAAGAGTCCAAGGTAGAACCCCTATACAAAAGGCCCAGACCATCCCCAGCGCACCCCAAAATCTCTCCGTTCTAGGAAGCCCTCGCCCTTCAACCAACCATTGTCCGGGTCCTAAGCCCTACGGACCCCCTAAACCCTAAACCCCTAAACCCCTAAACCCCTAAACCCCTAAACCCCTAAACCCCTAAACCCCTAAACCCCTAAACCCCTAAACCCCTAAACCCCTAAACCCCTAAACCCCTAAACCCCTAAACCCCTAAACCCCTAAACCCCTAAAAACCCCTAAACCCCTAAACCCCTAAACCCCTAAACCCCTAAACCCCTAAACCCCTAAACCCCTAAACCCCTAAACCCGAAACCCTAAACCCTAAACCGTAAAGCCCGAATGACCCTAAGCCCCTAACCCCAAAGCCCTCCTCGCACTAAGCCTGGCGCACAAAGGCTTGGATTTCGAACAGGCGCAACCGCCTGTGGCCCGTTGGGTCTACTTTTATAACCCGGGTTTGGGGTTCAGGGAAAAGGGTTTGGGTTTAGGGTTTGGGGTTTAAGTTTCTAGGTTTCAGGGTTTAGGGTTTAGGGTCTGGGGTCCTTACCGTTGAGGGTGCAGGAAACGCTCCGGAACTTGACCGGTCCCTCATGTCAGCCTCTCCGATTTAAGGTTTAGGGTTTGGGGTTTAGGCTTTAGGGCCTTTAGGGTAGGGGGTTTGCGCGTTGGGTTTCAATGTTTCGGCGGGTTTGGTGTAAGGTTGTCGTTGTCAAGGTTTGGAAACCCTACACAGGCCGTGCACCATGAAGCGCTAAACGCATTTCCGCCCTGGCACCCCAGAACCGAACCCGAAAGTTCCCAAATACCCCTAAGACTCAGACCCTGAACCCTGAACCCTGAACCCTAAACCCTAAACCCTAAACCCCTCACCCCGTCGCAGGTCGTCGGCCGCTTCGGTGACGGTTCGCCCGTGCGGCTCTCCAGCTTCAACTACTTTCAGCATCTCGGCTCCCAAGAGGGTCTAGGGCTTTTAGGGTTTAGGGTTTAGGGTTTAGGGTTTAGCGGTGTTTTTTGCGGTTCTCAGGGTAGTTCAACTACTTTCAGCATCGCGGCTCCAAGAGGGTTTGAAGGGTGGCTTTTAGGGGCTTTTAGGGTCTGTCTAGGGTGTTTAGGGTATTTCCACTACTTTCAGCATCTCGGCTCTGAGATGGTTTAAAGTTTAGAGGTTTTAGGGTCTTAGGGTGTTTAGGGTTTGCAGAGTCTCTGAGATGTCTCCAGCTAAAGTGACAGGGGCTCCAGAGTTCGGGATGAGGGAACTTTTGAAGTTGTTGGCTAACAGGGCTTGGGGGCACCCTCAACCCTAAACCCTAAACCCTAAACCCTAAACCCTAAACCCTTCTGTAAACCCTAAACCCCAAACCCCAAACCCCAAACCCCAAACCCCAAACCCAAAACCCTAGACCCTAAACCCTAAACCCTAAACCCTAAACACTAGCACGTAGACCCTGCAAGCCAGGAACGGCTCAAGATCGGCTCATTGGTTCATCTGGGCCCCCTTGGATTCCAATATACGTTCCGGACCCTTACTCCTACTTGGAGGTTCATGGTACTGATTAACCAATTATAACTGTACTCATCACCCACTTCTCAGCCCCCCCTAAGATGGATATAAGTACAGTCAGAAGTACAGTTCTAATTGGTTCATAAGTACCATGAACCTCCAAGTGCTGCCCTGGTTAACTCGTATACATAGCTGTACTTATTTAGGATGGTCTTTACTCAACATGCCGAGCCACTAAGCCGACCTTCCCTGAAGCCTGATGTCCTGAACCCCTACTTAAAGGGTCAGTTGACTTAGCAAGTGGGGTCAAAGATAAGGTAGCCATACTTATAACTATTTATAACCCCAATTGAGGTACTTATATCCCTACATACTAAGTACCCATAAACCTCCAAGTAAGGCCCCACCGAAGCCTCAGGTTTGATGGCAGTGACAGCGAGATCTGGGTCCGCAGCCCAGCATCAGAACTTTGTCATAGTGGGGTAACATTTCACATTCTTAAGGGTACTTAAACTCAATAAGGAATAGAAATTACAAATATTACAAACTATTCCAACCATGAACTAGATAATCTCTGGGGCCCAAGTTTGCGTCCTTCCTTTTTTTTGGAGTTCTGTTCAGTAGGAGTTTCAGGGGTCCAGGGATGCCTAGGGGTCTAGGAGTCTAGTGGTTCAGGGCTTTAAGGGTTCTCTAAATTACGGTCCCTTTCTTGGATTCCCTGTCTGGAAAATGGCTTCAACCTTAGGACGACCCGAATGTTGGGAGCTTTCTGGTTGGGGGCCCTGACCCCACACCCAGGACCCCACTTTTCTGGCCCGCCTGGCCTACGAGGGCTTCTTCACCATCACCACTGGCAGGCCCAGGGTTGAGGGTTTAGGGTTTAGGGTTTTAGGGTTTTTACGGTTTTGGGGTTTATAGGGTTTTGGGGTTTTAGGGTTTTAGAGTTTATAAGTTTATAGGGTTTAGGGGGTTTATAGGGTTTAGGCCGGTCAAGCATGTTTGCTCCTGCCGCTGCCATGGCTCTTCTGCGCCATTCCTGCTGAAACAGCCCGCCGAGATCTGCTCAGACCCCACATCTGGGGGTTTCTGAACTTCGGGGTACCTTTATTTGGGTCCTTATTTTAAGGGGATACTATCGTTTGGGTTCTTTTTTGGGGGTCCCAAGTTTTCGTAAACCCCCCATCGAGAGCCTGCAAGCCCAACCCCAGGAGAAGGGAGCGTGAGCCGCTGCCTGAGCTGCAGCCTTACTACGGCGTGCCGCTCGGCCGCCAACCTTCGGAACCTTCGGTTATGGACCCAAAAAGGACATAAGCATAAGCATTTTATAGGGATAATCCCTACCTTTCTTGGGCTTCAGTAGAAGGGGATTTTTGCTTATGTGCTTTTTTGGGGCCCTATTCGGGGGTAGCTCAGCCTGTTAGCTCGATGGAATTCAGGCTTCAAGGCTGAAGAGGTTACAAAAGCTTCGGGGGTTTAGGGGGGTTTGGGGTTCTCAATTTTTCTTCGGATCTCCCACTCCCAGTGCTTTCGCAAGCTCTTTGCCTTGGTTTTTTAGGCTCGACTGGCAGCACTTCAACCAGTCGAAGCCGGTGAGGAAAGCCCTCAGAAGGGTCAGGGCCGACACGCCCCGACGGCGCCTGGCCTCAAATGGGCAGTTCTCTAAGTTGTGGTGTTGTTGTTGGGTTGCCGTGATAACAACGAGACCTGTCGTTCATTTTTCGGGTTGACATTTTAACAATAAAGAGAATTGTGGCCATGATTATCGTAAAGAGAATACTGGCCCTTGTGCGTTTTGGGTTGGCGCGATAATAATCAAGAGCCTTGTGTGTCTGGAGGGTACCCAAAAAAGGTAGTGCAACCGAACGAGGAGTGCTCCCAGGGGGTGGGGTTTTGCCGGAGCGCCCCCTCCCCCACCTTCCCCTTTGCTTTGGCTTTGGGGGTTCGTTGGAGTTTCGGGGTTCGATGGGTCAAAGCTTAGCCTTTTGCTGCTTCTTGGGACAGACCCCTGCTGCGGTCAGCTGGGGCTTTGGGGTTTAGGGTTTAGGGTTTAGGGGTTAGGGTTTAGGGTTTTACCCAAACCCAGGTATTACCTCTACTGCGATCGAGATCTGGAGGCCACGTACAAGCAGCTGGACAGCTACCAGAAGGACTCACCTTGCCGTTTGTTTCTCAGGTGTGGGCCTTCAGAGGCCTCATTGTCGGGTTTCGCGTGGACTTGCTGAGAGCTTAGGGTTGACGTTCTTCAGTGCATCGTTCGGTTGCCGTCCTGACGCTTGCTGTACGCAACATGAACGAGTGTCAGCATGCTGGCAGGCATGCCCAAGAAACCAACCCTAAACCCTAAACCCTAAACCCTGAACCCTGAAACCTGAAAACCCTGGGCCTGCCTGAGCCCTAAGCACCCAGAAGCTCGCGAGGGGCAGCATGGTGAGAACTGGATGACCTGGAAGTACCTCCAAGCCTTTCGCCGTGCAAGTCCCTGCCTCAGGAACCCCAAAATCAGAAACCCTTTGGGGGTTGGGGGGGCTAGGGTTTAGGGTTTAGGGGGCCTAAGTAGGGTTCAGGGTTGAAGGTTTAGGTGTAGAGTACCAAACACCCACACCCTGAACCCTAAACCCTAAACCCTAAACCCTAACCCTACTCCTACCCAAGAACCCCAAACCCTAAACCCTAAACCCTAAACCCTAAACCCTAAACCCTAAACCCTAAACCCTAAACCCTAAACCCTAAACCCTAAACCCGCAAAACATGCACATGAGGCGACGATCCGAAGATCAACTTCCGCCTGCATTCCATCGAGACCTGAATGCAGCCAAGACCCTGGGATCCCAAGGCCCGAAAGCCCCAAAGACCTGAAACCCTAAACTCCGAACCCTAAACCCTAAACCCTAAACCCTAAACCCTAAACCCTAAACCCTAAACCCTAAACCCTAAACCCTAAACCCTAAACCCTAAACCCTAAGCCCTAAAACTCCGAAGGGTTTCAAAGTTTAGGTGTTGGGGGTTTCGGGTTTGAGGTTAGGGTTCCGGGCTTACTTCAGCCATCCCGAGAAACAGGGTTCGAAATGCTTCTCTTTCTTGCGCCTGGTTTCAAGGCTTCCCTGAAACCCCAAGCCCGAAGCCCTAAAACCTAAACCCTAAACCCCAAACCCTCAACTGAACTTCAGCTCCGGGCTTCCTCAAACAAGCGCCAGAGCGCTGAACGCCCCGCAGAAGCCCCCCCGAGCCAAGGGGTTCGGCGCGAAGGGTTCAGGGTTCAGGGTTTAGGGTTAGGGTTTAGGGTTTAGGGTTTAGGGTTTAGGGTTTAGGGTTTAGGGTTTAGGGTTTACGGTTTAGGGTTCAGGGTTTAGCGCCTTGATGTGGGGTTTAGGGCTTCAGGGCTTTAGGGCTTTGGATGTGTAGGGCTTAGGACGTTTTGGGTTTTTGTGGGGGGGGGGGGGGGGTTCGGGTATCTTTTCAGTTCCAAGCCAAGGAGCTCTACGATGGCCCGCTGCCCCAAGCAGGAGCGGCCGCGGTTGGGAACTCAGGTTTTAAGGTTCCAGGGTTTCAGGGTTTCAGGGTTTAGGGTTTAGGGATTAAGTTTAGGATTTAGAGTTTGTTTAGGGTTTAGGGCCCGGGCATTTCGGGGTTGAACCTGAACCATGCTACCCCAAAGGCTCAGGAGAGAGCCCTGAAATCACCTGAAGGGTTTAGGGTTTAGGGTTTCGGGTTTAGGGTTTAAAGCCTCAGCCCCTAAAGCCTTGACATCGCAAGCCGCACACGAACAAACCTCAACCCCTAAACAGCAAAAAGCAACCCCACTTGGAGGTTCAGGGTAACGCATTGCAAGTGTAGTTCTAACCCACATCTAAGCCCCTTAAAGTAGCCTGATGGGGTTATAATTTGGGTTATAAGGACAGTTCTAGTTGGGTTGCTAAGTACCATAAACCTCCAAGTACACTCCCGTGAGCTGAGCCAGCTTTGTTGGAGACCAGGCGGTTCCATGCACGGAACAGAGACCTAGAGACATCTGGGTTTGGGTTCAGGGTTTAGGGTTGAGGGTTTAGGGTTTAGGGGCCAGGGTTTAGGGTTGAGGGTTCAGGGTTCATGGTTCAGGGTTGAGGGTGCTCAATCCGGAGATCCTAAGCCGATTTGCGTTGCTCGGCCGTCATCTGTAGGCAGCAACTTTCAAGACAAGTGCAGGGCCCTTGGTTGTGGTTACCTCAGACCCTAAACCCTAAGCCCCTAAGCCCCTACACTCTAAACCCAAACTCCCCAAGGCAGATCGGCCCAACTTGATTGCCGGTGAGATTGGGCGCCGGCCATAGGGGCGGGGGGGTTCGGGGTTCCGGTTTATTCCTTCAAAGGACCCAGATTCAGACAAGCCACCGAGGGTTCTGCACCAGTGTTCCTGTTGGCCTTGCCTCGTGGCCTCTTCCCTAAACCCAGAACCCTAAACCCTAAACCCTAAACCCTCAACCCTAAACCCTAAACCCTAAACCCTAATCTTAGCGGAATTCGTGCTCCGAGCTCTGCTGAGGTACTCCATTGGCAAGATCTACACGAGCCTGTCTGGATTCAGCACTCGAAATGCCGATGGCCTGGGATGGATGCTGGAGCTGGAACAAAGGTTCGGGTTTAGGGTTTAGGGTTTGGGGTTTGGGGTTTGGGGTTTGGGGTTTAGGGTTTAGGGTTTAGGGTTTAGGGTTTAGGGTTTAGGGTTTGGCGCCGGGTCGAGGGCCTGGCAAGAGAGACACAGCCCCTCTTTGCAGGCGCAGTCTCTTCCTCAAGTCGGTGGCGCATGCTTCAACCCTAAACCCTAAACCCTAAACCCTAAACCCTAAACCCTAAACCCTAAACCCTAAACCCTAAACCCTAAACCCTAAACCCTAAACCCTAAACCCCCAAGTTTCGTCAGCTTTGCCAGCTGCCCAGGATACAGCTGGCGTGCCTGGGCAAATGGCTGGAGGAGAAGAAGTACGCCTTCTGGAGCCGGGCCCAGTTGCTTCCATGTTTGCAGGGGCAAAAGCACTTCTCCAAATCATTGCCATGCGCCGTGATCCGGTCTCCACAGCAGACAAACCCTCCCGAACGAAGCAACTTCGGAGAGAATTGCGTCCAAGGAGTTTGGGGCACTGCTACAGCCCGCACATGGCACCTGGGAGGGTCTTGGGACGGGGGCTTGAGGGGCTTGAGGGGCTGGAGGGGACTGACGGGACTGAGGGGTTTAGGGTTTAGGGTTTCGGGTTTAGGGTTAGGGTTTCGGGCTTAGGGTTTCGGGTTTAGGGTTTAGGGTTAGGGTTTCGGGCTTAGGGTTTCGGGTTTAGGGTTTAGGGTTTCGGGCTCAGGGGTTAGGTTTTGGGCTGACTTGGGTCGCGTGAACCAGCATGCAGTAACCCTAAACCCTAAACCCTAAACCCTAAACCCTAAACCCTAAACCCTAAACCCTAAACCCTAAACCCTAAACCCTAAACCCTAAACCCTAAACCCTAAACCCCAAACCCTAAACCCTGAACCCCAAACCCTAAGCCCTAAACCCTAAACCCTCAACCCTAAGCCCTTGCTGTCTCTGGGCGGAGGAGTACAAGAGGCAACTGGGACACCGGATCTACACCAGGGAGGAGTTCCTCCAGAGGCTCAAGCGCGAACGAGGCGGCGGGATCACCTCCCGAACATCCCCCCCAGCCCGCAAGGGAGGGTTTAGGGTTTAGGGTTTCGGGTTTAGGGTTTAGGGTTTAGGGTTTAGGGTTTGGGGTTTAGGGTTTAGGGTTTAGGGTTTGGGCTTTAGGGTTTGGGGTTTAGGGCTAACCCACAAGGAGCTTTCCGATGTTCGCAAGACGAGCTCTCACACCAGCTCAGCAAGGGCGAGGAGCGCAGAATCGACGGGCCTTCTTGCCGGTTCCTGCTTGGCTTTAGTTTGGGGTTTAGGGTTTAGGGTCTAGGGTTTAGGGGTCTCCCATTGGGGTTGGATCCTACTATTGGAGGTCTATTGTGGGATTCCCTTCTTGTCACAAACTCCCATTCGGGCATTTCCCCAAACAGGGGTACCCCCAATCCTCTAATCCTTATGATAGGAACCCCCAAAAAGGGTACCCTAGTCTCGAAGCCCACCACTTCGAGCTTTAGCCTGAGGGTTTTGGCAGGTTTCAGATATCCTGCCTTGTGTTGAGGGCTTTAGGGTTGTACTGTAGGGTTCAGAACCCTAAGCCTCCTAACGAGTGGCGCTGTGCCTGCAACTCTGCTAAGATCTTGTGCTTGTCAAAAGTCAAAATAAGGTTGTCCCCCTCCACGGAGCTATGAAGAGGCATCCCCAAGCCATAGCCGCTAAACCCCTGACCTACCCAAGCGGACGAGGAGTTTGATGTCGACGCTGTGCTGGCAGGCCAAGTACCAACGCGGTCTCTTCAGGTTGTTGCCTGTCGTCTTGAGCCCAACACTCTAAACGGGTTTAGGGTTCAGGGTTAAGGGGTTAGGGCTTGATTCACAGGTTGGTCGTCTAAGCTGCAAGACTACTGGAACATAGAGACACAAAGTTCCGACCCATAAAGCCTTTGATCCAGCCCCTGAATTCCTGCAGGCCTATGGGCTCCAAAGGACACAGCGAGTGCCCTTGGAAGTGACTGAGCCAGCGCCTGCCAGCAGCCCGCGCTGTACAGCTGCGCGCCTCAGCACTCGGCGGGATTTTTGCCCCCTGCGCCTGTCGCACGCCAGCCGGACGTCCTAAGGTCTAGGCTTTCGTGAGGGCAGGCTTTCTGGTGCTGTCCAGCCCCTCAGCACCCTAAACCCGGATCGCAAGATTCGCAAGATCTCGTCAACATCACCTTGGCCAGACCATCCATATGAGCTGCAAACAAAAAGCCGAAGCCCTAAACCCTAAACCCTAAACCCCAAAACCTACACCCTAAACCCTAAACCCCAAACCCCAAACCCTCAACCCTAAACCCTACCTTCTAGCCTCTGCAAACATGTTCCTGCAGGGCCCTTGGCTTCCCAAGTCCGAACTCTGCCAAAGCTGTACAGTGGGTGCGGAGAAAGCAAAAGGGGCCGCTCTGCCGCCCCGAGCCCTAAAGCCTAAGCCTGGTCCTTGGTTTTAGGGTTTAGGGTTTAGGGTTTCGGCTAGGTGCCCGTCTTCCCAGTCATGTCGTCCGCAGAGCGATGGCATCTTGCTACAGGAGTCGCCGCGACTGCTCTGCGCATGTTTCTGAAGCTTCCCCAGGGACCTCCCCGCACCACCTAAACCCCAAACCCTAAACCCTAAACCCTAAACCCGAAACCCTAAACCCTAAACCCTAATCCCTTCAGCCCTCGAGCCCGGACCAGGTCCAGGCAGTTCCCGGCAAGCTGAAGCAAGGCTACGGGGACGCAGTCTGCCAAGTTCTGCACACCTTGTTCAAGGAGGCGCCCCCGGTTCTTCAAGGGTCTTCCACTGGCGTGGAAAATCCCTCGAAGACTCAAACCCGAACCCTCAAAGACCTTCGTGGTGAGGGCTTTCGGGCTTTTAGGGTTGTTGTTGCTCTGCAGAGTTGACCCAGCCTTCACGGCACTTAAACCCTAAATTCGGAGCTTAGTGTCTCTAGTGACTCTAGTGCCTTGGGAAGCTATTCTGGCGGTTTCGGCCTACACCATCAACTACATACAGTAGGGTTGGGAGATTTTGGGGTTCAACGCTGAAGCCACTCAATCCGTAGTTTGGGGGTCTGCGGGTTTAAGGTTCAGGGTAACCCCCACCCCAATCTAATTCGAAGCTCTTGGAGGGTTCAAGTTCAGCCCTAAACCCTAAACCCTAAACCCTAAGCCCTAAACCCCAAACCCTAAACCCCAAACCCCAAACCCTAAGTAGGTTTCAGGGAGGGGTCCCCTGAACCCTACGCCCTCCCCGGCTCCCTAAGCCCAAAACCCCAAAGCTTGAACCCACAACACCTGTAAACCCTCGACTTTAGCCTCTGCAACTCAAACCCTGCACCCCGAAGTGAACCCAAAACTTGATCGTCAACCCGCAAACCCCTCCCCAAACACCCCCAACCCCCCCCCCCCCCACCCCCCCCCCCACCCCCCCCCCACCCCCCCCCCCCCACCCCACACCCCCCCCACCCCCCCCCCCCCACCCCACCCCCCCACCCCCCCCCCACCCCCCCCCCCCCCCCCCCCACCCCCCCCCCCACCCCCCCCCCCCACCCCACCCCCCCCCCCCAACCCCCCCCCCCCCCCACCCCCCCCCCCCCCCGTCTTCCGGGAGAATAGAAACCCTGTAAACCCTTTAAACCCTGTAAGACCGATAAATCCTAGAAACCCTATAAGCCCTGTAAACCCTGCCAAACCCCATAAACCCTATGAACCCCATAAACTCTACAAACTTTAGCCCTATAAACCCTTTTCACCCTGGAAATATAAACCCTAGAAATATTCACCCTAGAATTACAACCCCTGGAAATATACACCCTAGAAATATAGACCCTAGAAATATGAACTCTGGGAACCCTTACAAACCCTATCAACCCTATTCACCCTTATTAACCCTATGAACCCTTATTAACCTATTAGTAACCCTTTCTAACTCTATTACCCCTTGTTAACCCTTATTAACCCTTATGAACCCTTATGAACCCTTGTGAACCCTTATTAACCCTTACTAACTCTATTAACCCTTAACCCATACTAACTCTGCTAACCCTTATCAACCCTTATGAACCCCTATTAGCCCTATTACCCTTACTAACTCTATTAACCCTTATCAACACCTATTAACCCCCATTAGCGCTTACTAACTCTACTAACCCTTATTGCCCCTCATGAACCCTTAATGCCCTACAAACCCCCTTATTACCCCTTATGAACCTCTATTACCCTGAAAACCTTACAAGCCCTCTAAACCCTGCAAGCCCTGTAAACACTATTAACCTTACAAACCCTTATTAGCCCTTATTGACCTTCTTATTAACCCTTATTAGGCCTTATGAACCCTAAACTCTAAACCCTAAACCTAGGAACCCAAGGAACCTTATTCACCCTATAAGCCCTCTAAACCCTTCCGAGGTGCTTCGGCGTTTAAACTTCGAGTTCCTGGCTCCGAGCTATCCTGATGAGGCCCCCCCGAGTTACGGAGAGGAGGATCTCGGATGTAAACCCTAAACCCTAAACCCTAAACCCTAAACCCTAAGCCCTAAACCCTAAACCCTAAACCCTAAACCCTAAGCCCCAAGCCCCAAGCCCTAAACCCTAAACCCTAAACTCTAAACCCTAAACCCTAAACCATAAACCCTAAACCCTAAACCCTAAGCCCTAAACCCTAAGCTTCCCAAACTTTGAGGGGTCTAGCGCTAGACGGCTTGGGCTGCAGCATCAAGAGGGCGTTCAGTTATTGAGGTTTCGGGTTTAGGGTTTAGGGTTTGGGGTTTAGGGTTTAGGGTTTGGGGTTTAGGGTTTACTGTTCAGGGTATGGGGTTTAGGGTTTAGGGTTTGGGGTTTAGGGTTTAGGGCGTTTCGCAGGGCGTGACAGGGTTTGACTGGGGGTGTCGAGTCTGGGGATTCAAAGCCCGCAGCACCCCAACAAAAGCCCAAAGTTTGGGTTTTGGAGTTTAGCCCTAAACCCTAAACCCTAAAACCTAAACCCTAAACTCTAAACCCTAAACCCTAAATCCTAAACCCTAAGAGTCCTTGGGTTGGGGCTGAGTTTTTGGGGTTGGATTGTCGGTGCACCGCAGCCATGAAGTTTGGGGTTTCTCACTCAGAGCACGTATGGAGGGGGGGGGGGGGGGGGGGGGGGGGTACTTTCTCCATATAAAGCCTCTTAGCCTCTTATGTGCCCTCTCTATGTGTCTTATAAGCTACCGCTTTCGGGTTTAGGGTTTTACTAGGTTTACTAGTAGGGTTTTTGCTTTTAAGGGTTTATAAGGCTGTCAGGTTTAAGGTTTTTAGGGTTTGGGGTTTATAGCTTGGGGTTTATAGGGTTGAGGGTTTACGGTTTAGGGTTTCGCGTGCGAGTCTGGATCCCATGCAAGGGCCTGGCCGACGAAGCGGACGTGGACAGTGATGCAGAGATCCACTCCGTCGGCGAGGAACCCCTCCATGCCTATTACTGTAGCCTTGAAGCTTAAGCCAAACCCCGGACCCCATACCCCAAGCCCCAAACCCAAACCCAAAACGCAGGACGAAATGCCAGGAGATGGCGAGGAGGATGACCTCATGTATCAGGCGCCGCTTCCTTGCTGCAGGGTTCAGGACCCCGAAAAAGACAGCCCAAGGCCGAAGCACGCACCCCACATAGTATCTTTTTGGGTTTAGGGCTTAGGGTGAAAGCAATAGTCCGTTTGTCCATACTTTTGAGGGCAATCAACTGGTCCTAAACCTGAGAACGCTTGACTCCAAACCTTAGCTTACCTCCTAAACCCTAAGCCCCGAAACCCTAAACCCTAAACCCAAAACCCAACACCCTAAACACGGAACCCTGAACACCAAGCCCTAAGCCCCTGCAGGAGGATGCCCCAAAGCCGCCGCCGGAGGAGGAGCACGAGCACCAGGTGAGGATTAGAGGGTGAGGGTTTGGGGTTTAGGGTTTAGGGTTTAGGTTTTAGGGTTTCTAGGTGTGCAAATGGTGTGCAACAAAAGCTTGGTGGGTGCTTAAGGGGCTCAGCCCCAATGAATCAGATCCCCCTACCAAATGGCCGAAACCCTTAAGCCCCTCCTAAGCCCGCTTGAAGCCCTGCAAAGCTAGAAAACCCTAAGCCCTAAGCCCTAAACCCCAAACCCCAAGCCCTAAACCCTAAGAACTACACCCCAAACCCTAAACCCTAAACCCTAAACCCGAAACCTCAAACCCCAAACCCTAAGCCCCTACAAACCTGCCCAGGTGCTCCAGGCCAACGTGGACCCAAAAGAGTGGCTCCTGGAGGCAGGGCTCCAGCGAAGGGACGCTTTTCGTCGGAGCAAAGCACGTTTTAGGGTTTAGGGTTTAGGGTTTCGGGTTTAGGGTTTAGGGTTTTAGGGTTTAGGGTTTAGGGTTTCGGGTTTAGGGTTTAGGGTTTCGGGTTTAGGGTTTTAGGGTTTTAGGGTTTAGGGTTTCGGGTTTAGGGTTTAGGGTTTAGGGCTAGCGACTCTTGGGTTCTCAAGGGAGGGGGGTTCATGCGGGGTAGCTACCTAGGGAACCTTGGGGAGGATTAGGGAGTCGTTGTGCGTACTAGGGAACCTTGGGTTGCATGTCCCCATTGAACCCTAAACCCTAAACCCTAAACCCTAAACCCTAAACCCTAAACCCTAAACCCTAAACCCTAAACCCTAAACCCTAAACCCTTAAGAACCCTGTAAAACTCGGGCCGAGCAGGAGGGGTTTTAGGGTTCAGGGTTCTAGTGCCCATACTTGACCTGTTGTCGTTTGGGACAAGCTGAGCCTAAACCCGAAACCCCAAACCCTAAACCCTAAACCCTAAACCCTAAACCCTAAACCCGAAACCCTAAACCCGAAACCCTAAACCCTACACACCCCACGCCCGAGAACCCCGAAGTCTGGAGGTGGAGCGGGTCTCGGCCAAGCTAAAAGTCACCATGCCCAACGACTCCAAAGAATGGAGGTGGGAAAGCCCGCAGGGCTTGGGTTTAGGGTTTTGGGTTTTGGGTTTAGGGTTTAGGGTTTAGGGTGTCGGTTTCGGGTTTAGGGATTAGGGTTTAGGGTTCGGGGTTCGGGGTTTAGGGTTTGGGGTTTGGGGTTTAGGGTTTACGGTGTGGGCTCTTCAGGCCTTTCCCGCCGCACTGGATTCCGGCCTTTCCCCTGCTGATGTGAAAAGAAGAATAGGGGTTAGGGTCAGGGTTTAGGGTTTAGGGTTTAGGCTCAAAGGTTTAGGGTGGGAGCATACCCTGAGCCCCCCAAACGCTAAACCGAAACCTTAAAACCCTAGACCCTAAACCCTAAACCCTAAACCCTAAACCCGAAACCCTGAACCCTAAACCCTAAACCCTAAACCCTACCCCCTACTCGGCACCATTTCGTCATGCTATCGGGCCCTCTTTCGGCACATACAGTTTTTTGGGGGGTCAGGGTCTTCTTGGGCTACCCCCAAAGCCTACTTGAACCCTAAACCCTGAGCCCTAAACTCTAAACCCTAAACCCTAAACCCTAAACCCTAAACCCTAAACCCTAAACCCTAAACCCTAAACCCCAAGTCTGAAACTCCCAGCCCTAAGCTTGAGTTAAGTCCGTAAGCCACAGCTAAGTGCAGGACGCACCTTCAGCAGACGAAGGGCTACAAACAGGCCCGGATTTTTTCCTGCGCAGGAAGTGAAAGGGTTTAGGGGGCCTAAACGTATGATGCCAACTCATATCTGGCCGCAGCGCCCCCCCCCCCCCCCCCCCCCTTGAAGTGGGGGGTTCGCATTTAAGGTCTTAGGGTTGAGGGGTTTGGGGTTAAGGGTTTTAGGTGGATGATTTTTTTCTAGGGTTGAGGGCTTCGGGCTTCAGCTTTTAGGGTACAGGGTATGCATGAGAGTCTTGGTTTTAGGGTGGGGGGTGGGTGGGGGGGACACATGACGCGACAGAAGCATATGTAGGTAGAGCACCCCAAAACGGGCCACAACCCTAAACCCTAAATCCTAGACCCTAAACCCTATGGACAACGAAGATCCTTGAGACAGTCCCATCTTACTGGGAGGTCATTGAGACGCAGTTTCCTTCTTCCAAGGCCGCGCGCCCAGACAACGTTTCGCAGGGGCTCGTGTTGTTTAGGGCTTAGGGTTTAAGGGTTTAGGGTGTAGGGTTTAGGGTTTAGGGCCGCAGCATGCCGTGCAAAGAGCGCCCTCGCTGTGGTTATCTGCCTCAGGGATGTCTGTCCTTGCAGAGGCAGAGGCTCAAGCAGGACCTTCAACGGAGGCAGGACCGAGAACAATGAGACGGCCAAGTACTTTCAAGGACCCTAAACCCTAAACCCTAAACCCTAAACCCTAAACCCTAAACCCTAAACCCTAAACCCTAAACCCTAAACCCTAAACCCTAAACCCTAAACCCTAAACGGATCAGGGATTTAGTAGCAGATTCTGAGGGAGCCGGACGCATGGCCTCGGAGCTATCGGGATGTGCCGTGTGCGGAGAGCCTGGTCGCAAGCGATGCGGGCGATGCAGGGATGAAGGGTTTAGGGTTTAGGGTTTAGGGTTTAGGGTTTAGGTTTAGGTTTAGGGTTTAGGGTTTAGGGTTTAGGGTTTAGGGGAGTCTTATTGTAGCCAAGCATGCCAGCGGGCGGCTTGGCCACTGCACAAGAGCTTCTGTGGCAAGGTTCACCTTGCAACACATGAGAGCAAGGGACGCGTGCTTGTGGCATGCCGAGACTTTGGGCCGGGGGAAATAATCTTTCAAGAGCCTTCCTTTGTGTTTTCCGTCCATGGTGATGTCAAGCACGCTCGTGATCAGAAGTTATGCATCGGCTGCGCCCGGCCTGTCTTCAGCCCATATGGTGGCGGGAAGGACGTGCACAAGCTCACGTGCCAGTGCAAGTTCAAGTTTTGTTCCGAGGATTGTCCAGGCAGGCGCAGCGGCCTCCACGACGCTGAGTGCAAGGTGTTGCGGAAGGCGCCTTGGCCAGTTGAACCCTGGAAGATCATGTTTTGCTGCCGCGCGCTGCAGATGCAGAAGCATCCCCAGGCATGCAGGCAGTGGAAGTCGTTCATGAAGCATGGCGACCTGGGTGTGGATGACATGATGGCTTTTCCGACCTCCGCAGTTGTCGACGCATTTCAAGGTACCGTGTCCAGCGAGGATGTGCAGGCTGTCCTTCAGGTCAATGCAACGAACTCATGGGAACTGGTGCCGAACTTTCCGATGGACGCAGCTGTCCGGTATGGCTTTGACGTCGCCAAGTGGCCTGTGTGCTATGTGTCAGTCCAGGGCCTAGCAACATTCTTGGGGCCGATGCTTAGCAAGGTCGAGCACAGCTGCGCCCCCAATGCCCATCCCACGGCATGGTTTTCAAGCACCGGAGTGCCTCAGTTGATTTGCCGAGCGGCAACTAGGATAAGAGGAGGAGAGCCAATCTCCATTTCCTACATGAACCATGCCTGCCTCGTAGAAGCAAGCTTTCACCGTGTTCCTCGCATGCTGAAGACGAAGAAGTTCACATGTACGTGTCAACGGTGTTTGGACGTGACAGATGGCGGAGCCTTCACGGGCTCTCTCAAGTGCTCTTACTGCAATCAGGGCTATACAGTGCCTCAGGCTCAAAAACTCGAAGCCAGAGAGACAGAGTGGATGTGCAACTCATGTTGCAAGCCTGATCGCAGCGAAGGGATCAACACCCGAGTGTTTCAGGAGCATGAGGCCGCCATGAGAAGTGTCACTTCGGCGATGCCACTTGCCGCACGGAGGCAGGTGCATGCACAGCTACAAAGCATGCTTCAGCGCCATCAGTCCAGGTTGCACGGATCTCACTATGTCGTGTACAACATCAACCACTCCATCTCAGTCATGTTCGGTCTCATCTCTCAGCCCCTACTGCCTGAAGATGGAAGAGCCCTGTATGCGGCATCCATGGCCAATGCGCAGTTGCTGATGAAGCTAATCGGCGGCTCCTCCGAGGAACTGGCCATGCTTTACTTCCACGCAGCACGGGGCCTTGCAAGTCAGTCTACACAAAAGGAGGAGAGGCCCTGGCAGGCTCATTTCAACAGAGTGGCTGACATGCTGTCGCTGGCCGTGGATCATTATGTAGCAACCCTTGGTGAGGAACATGATCTCACAGACACCGCGAAGGCCTTTCGCAAATTTTGCAAGGAGTTCGTTGACATTGGGCCAGATCTGGTCAAGGGGATGGGCCAGCATCCAGACACGGCGTTTCATATCTTTCTCGGGCAAGAGCTCGCAGACTATATGATTTATGGAAGCTGAAGAGCATGTAGGCTTGAAAAAGGCGCGCGCGCAAGCAACTGCAGGTTGGCCTCAGGGTTTGGGGTTTAGGATGCATATGGATGTATCAATCTTGTCCTCCCATCTTTTGAGAGAGGTTCCACTGACAAAAAGACTCTGAGGTACGCTTTGACCCTGCCTTCGGAGCATGTCTAAGCCCGAAGCCCTAAACCCACAACCCTGGTAGCAAGCGTCCGCATCATGAGGGCTCCACCAGGTGGGGGGGGTTTAGGGTTTAGGGGGGTTTGGGGTTTAGGGTTTAGGGTTTAGGGGTTTAGGGAAAAGCCCATGGTGCCCTCCGACCTGTCAGCCAACTGCTGGAGTCCAGACAGCACCCAGGCAGCGGCCAGCCAAGACACTAGGCCAGGCCCTTGGTAGATTTTCATACTTTCCCTTCGTTTTGGGGTTTCAGAGGGTCATCTTCAGGACTATTTTTCCAGAGGGTTTTAAGTTCACATCTTCCCTTTCTTGGGGTTCAGAGGGATCATCTTGGGGAGTCTGTTTCAGAGGGTTTTAAAGAGGCCACCCGAGGACATGGTGGAACCCTGGATGCACGGACTCCTCCCACTTCCCTGCGCCTGGTTGGGTGGGCCGATGTCGCTGGAGATCTTCCGATTCCTGCCCGTGGTCGAGTTCTGCACCTGCCGCGCGGTCTCCTCGACCTTCGTGGAGCCGAAGGACTTGTTGTCGCATCTGCTGGAGGTTGCAGACTTGGCCAGGCCGCACGCGCTCATGGCGTACGATGCCTGGTCGTTTCAGAGGCTCCGGCTCCGAGGCTGCGTGTTGCCCACGGGTGGCTTTGACCATCTGCTGAACCTGCACCTGGATGAGGGCATGCTCGAGCTCCGGGACTCTGTTCGGTGTCTTCTCTGCCTGGGAGAGATGTTTTTCGAACCCGCGCCCCTGCGCATCTTGGTCATAGTTGGGTAACATCTTTACATTGTAAGGGTACTTAAACCCAATAAGGAATAAACAAGCTAAATTTTTACTATCACCCCAGCCACGAACTAGGCATGCATGGCATGATCCTGAACCTTGTCAAGCTCGCGCATGGGCCTTGCCATCCAGACGCGGGGTGGAACCGCAGCATCAGCTACGTGGCGCTCAGTTCTCTGCAGCATCTCATGGTGACGGATCCAGGCTTCCGAAACTGGCTGGCGGGCCAGATGACCTTGGAGTTTGAGATGCCGTGTGATGGGAGCAGGCCAAGCTTCATAGAGAGGGCGGTGTGCGAAGATGAGGTGGAGCTCTGGATGCATGGACTTCTGGCCGAGTCTTGTTGCCCTGAGTTCGATGAGAGTTGTGCTGTCCTGCACCTTGTGCGCGCGGAGGCGACGACCCTAATCCCTCAACCCTTACCCTAAACCCTAAACCCTAAACACTAACTAGACCCTAAATCCAAAACCCTAAACCCTAAACCCTAAACCCTAAACACCCGCTAGTGCAGGAGCTGTCCCCGAATTCGGAGAAGGTTGGCAGGCAACTTGGGCCGGATTCCAACTCGAGTCTTTGGGACGGGCTGTTCAGCACACTCTTCTGGTGGTACCCATATCCCCCTTGGGAACTATTTTCTATTTTTGTTTATATAAAACCCAAGAGGATATAAAACATACTATTTTTATCAAGGCTCTAAGAAGAGCACAGGTACCGGGAGCCCGGCTCGAGGAGACCTGCCTCACACGTCTCCTGGGTGCGGTTGGGTCGGCAGATGACGTTGGAGATCTTCCGATTCCTGCCCGCGGTCGAGTACTGCACCTGCCGCGCGGTCTCCTCGACCTTCGTGGAGCCGAAGGGCTTGCAGTCGCATCTGCTGGAGGTTGCAGACTTATCCAGGGAAGAGGCGGTCTTGGCGTATGCATCGTGGGCAAACAGCGTGCGCCCGGCGTGGTGCAACGACGGCATCCGCCGGTACTTGCTTGAATCTCTGAACCTCCGCCTTGACGGGACGATGCTCGAGCGCCGGGACTGCATGCGCTGCCTCCTGTGCTTGGGTGAGTTCTTTTTTGAACATGCCCCTCTGGGCATGCACCGCATGATCTTGAGCCTGGTGGAGCTCACGGTCTTCAATCCCTGCCACAACTTCCGCTACCTAACTGAACCAATGGCAGTGGCTGCTCTGCACGAGATCATGGTAACGAATGCAGGGTTCCAGAAGTGGTTGACAGCACAGTTGACATCTTAGAATAGAGAAAATATATGCAAAATGACATAATATCGTCATTGTCATCATCATCATCATCATCATCATCATCATCATCATCATCATCATCATCATCATCGCCATCATCATCGCCATCATCATCATCATCACCATCATCCTCATCATCGATAAATAAGTCAATTAAGTAAATCAAAAAACAAATACATAAGTACATAAATAGATGAGTTAGAAAACAAAGAAGGTATAGAAAAGTAAGTATTTATTTAGGTTTTTACATTTGTATATATAAGTATTTAAGTCCAGAGAATACTGTGTAATGGGGTTATCAAAGCCTTGTTCTCACAATGCACTTCGCATGAGAATGCGATCTGCACCAGATCATGGCCGGGAGAGGTCAGAGAGGAGCGCCGCTCGCGCGGGCCTGGGCTCTGATGGAAAAGTGCAGGGTTTAGGGTTGAGGGTTTAGGGTTTAGGGTTTAAGGTTTAGGGTTTAGGGTTCAGGGTTTAGGGTTCAGGGTTTAGGGTTTAGAGTATCGGGTTTAAGGATACGAGCCACATGAGCCACGGGTATGATAGCAAGAAGCTGTCGGCCATCTTATAAGGGAAGCCCCGATGGCCTAGAAGAGTGGTCATCACCATCCTTAAAGGGATACCTACATACATATAATGATAATAACGATAATAATAATAGTCGTAAAAATAGTAAAAATAGCAGAAATCATCATATTCTAGTAGTAATGATAATACTTCATAATAATAAAAGTAATAGTAATAAGAGCAAGAAGTATAAACATATATATATATATATATATATAGGCGAAAACCAAGCACACTTGAAGGACGAGTATGTCACGTGGCGAGAATCATGATGAACGGGCTTCGGGTGTCGTCTCACTACTGCCTTAACACACGCGTCGTTCAAGAATGACATAGGCGCAAGCCCTAAACCCCAATCCTAAACTCTAATCCTAGACCCTAAACCCTAATCCTAAACCCTAAACCCTAATCCTAAGCCCTCGGCTAAAGCACGGAAGCCCGGAAGAGCCTCTTCAGATTGACGAAAGTCATTGGGGTTTAAGCCCAAGAGCCGCCTCGAAACATCCCCCCCCCCCCCCCCCCCTCCCCCCCCCCCCCCTCAAAAAGAAAAGACCCAAAAGCCCCCAGCCCCCGAACTAACACCCTAAAGCCTAAACCCTCAAACCCAAACCGCACACTCTAAAACCCAAACCCCAGCCCCCCAAACCCTAAACCTTAAAGCCTAAACCCCAAACCCGAAACCCTAAACCCCAAACCCCAAACCCGAAACCCCAAACCCCAACCCGCAAACCCTAAACCCCAAACCCCAAGCCCCAAACTCCAAACCCTAAACCCAAACCCTAAACCCTAAACCCCGAGGTTCAACCCTAAACCCTAAACCCTAAACCCTAAACCCTAAACCCTAAACCCTAAACCCTAAACCCTAAACCCTAAACCCTGAGGTTCAGCTGGACAAGCTCACGGCGCAGCTTAGTCAGGCCATGGAGAGGATCAAGTCCAAGGAGGTGGGCGAGGGGAGGGGGCTGGGGTCAGGGTTTAGGGTTTAGGGTTTAGGGTTTAGGGTTTAGGGTTTAGGGTTTAGGGTTTAGGGTTTAGGGTTTAGGGTTTAGGGCTTAGTGTTTCGGGCTTGCGGTCTAGGATCTAGGGCGTTCTGAGAGGTTTTGTTGCTTGAGGTTTGGGTGGGTGTGCAAACTCTAAGCCCTGAACCTGTTCAGGGCTTAGGGTTTAGGGTTTAGGGCTTAGGGTTTAGGGTAGTTTAGGACTTTAGGGTTCAGGGCGCGGGCGCTCAGGGTCGGCTTTTAGGGATTTGTAGGCAGTGTGTTTAGGGCTTAGTGCCTCAGGCTTTGCTTGCCGTTGGTTAGTAGGGAATGGGGGAATGAGGTACCCTGTACAATCCCTTAAGGGGTATATTTAGGGGGATAAAGGGTCCCTACTAACCAACAGTGAGTTTAGGCCCTAAACCTTGACAGGAACCCCAGGATCTCAACCACCGAGTTTTTTTCCCGATGCAGCCCGAAAGCTGAAACTCCAAAGTCTAGTTAAGCCCGAAACCCGGAAACTCCGGGAAGCCCTGAAAACCAGGAAGCCCACGGTTTAGGGTTTAGGGTTTAGGGTTTTGGGTTCAGGGTTTAGCACTCCCTGTACCCTAAACTGGAGGCTTTCATCAACACCCAGTTCGACCACCGTGCGCTGGATTACAGACAACAGCAGGAGGAGTTGCAGCAGGCCGCCGCATGCGGTCTTTTGCTGCTATGTCGACTGAGTTGGGGATTGGGTTTGGTGGGTTGCTTAACCCTGAATCCTAAACCCTAAACCCTAAACCCCAAACCCCAAACCCTAAACCCTAAACCGGTTCAGGGTTAGTTGCAGGGTTCAGGGGGCCACAAGAGACTCCTCCCAACCGCAGGTGCAGCAGCAGTACACCGAGCTGAACGAAGTGGTGCACCCGGCCTCTGTTTGGCCCACCTTCGGTGGAGGGAGGGGGGGGTTTAGGGTTTAGGGTTTAGGGTTTAGGGTTCAGGGGTTTAGGGACCTGAACTCGACTCGTGCGTGGGGTGCTTGGTGTGGCAGGTGATGAACTTGCAGATTGAGCTGAAGAATGTCGGCGAGGAGCTCGACCTTGTCAAGAACGAGATGGATGCCATCGCCCCAGGTTGCGAGAGCAGTGGAGGTTTTAGGAGTTTAGGGTGTCGGGCAGCTAGGACCCCTGCATAGCTCTTGTGACTCATGGCCTTTTGCGTGAAGTGGTCCCCCCCTAAGAAACGAACCCTAAACCCTATACCCTAAACCCTAAACCCTAAACCCCAAACCCCTAAACCCGAACCCGAAACCCTAAACCCGACCCTAAACCCAAAACCCCGAACCCGAAACCCTTGACTTGAGAGCAAAGGCCACCTGAAGCGTGTCCGCCACCTCCCAAGCTCAGGAGAAGTCATCTGCAGCCACAGATACGACCCCAATCGTCAAGATGAAGGACGGGCCACCGGCAGAGTTCTGAGGGGTTTAGGGTTTAGGGTTTAGGGTTTAGGGTGGAGGGGTTGAGGGTTCAGGGTGGAGGGGTTAGGGTTGAGGGTTTAGAGTTTGGGTTTAGAGCTTTTTCGTGTTTACTTTGTCATAGTTGGGTAACATTTCACATTTTTCAGGGTACTTAAACCCAATAAGGAATGCACATTTAAGAGTTTTTAATGCTGTCCCAACCATTAACTATAGTTTAGTTCTTTGAGGGATCGCCGCCGGAATCACCTTCCCGCCGGCAGGACGCCTTCAAGAGATTGCGGGCTGACACTCGGCAGCTGGAGGCTGCTTTGCTCGACATCCTGAAATGCAGGGTTTGGGGTTTGGGGTTTGGGGTTTAGGGTTTGGGGTTTAGGGTTTAGGGTTTGGGGTTTGGGGTTTAGGTTTGGGGTTTAAGGTTTGGGTTTCGGGTTTGGGTTTCGGGTTTAGGGAGAGTGAAGTCTTCTGCTACTGCCTCGTCATAGGGGTTGGCTGCCAGGTCAGGATCGGCGTCGTCAGCCACACCTTGATGCAGGCCTGCGGGAGAGGGATCCTACCCTAAACCCTAAACCCTAAACCCTAAACCCTAAACCCTAAACCCTAAACCCTAAACCCTAAACCCTAAGCCCGAAACCCGAAACCCGAAACCCTAAACCCTAAACCCTAAACCCTAAACCCTAAACCCTAAACCCTAAACCCTAAACCCTCCCGAGCGGGTTGCTGGATAGTCTTGGCCCTGGTCCTCAAGCCATTGTTCTGGCAGGCCAAACTCCGGCAACGTCCGACCGAGGCTGGCTTTTAATGCGCCAACCTCTTTTTTCTGAATATGGGTGTTGGGGTTTAGGGTTTAGGGCTTAGGGTTTAGGGGTTAGGGTTCAGGGTTCAGGGTTCAGGGTTTAGGGTTTAGGGTTTAGGGTTATTGGGTATCTTATACCCTATGTATACCCATGGAGGGACTTATGTGGTGCACGCAATTTGAGGGAAGCGGGGCATGGTAAAGAAGTCGTGATGGGCTTGTATAGGGTTTCCAGAAGTTCTCTTGCTCCCAAGACTTCTTCGGGTAGCCCTAAGCCCTAAGGCCTAAACCCTAAACCGCCTTCGTCTGGTGAGGACCGCAAGCAGCGCGGGGTGTATGGCGATTCCCGGGCTACCGGGGACGATGATCAGTGCCCTGTGGGTAGGGTTACAGGGCTTTAGGGTTTAGGGTTACAGGGTTAGGGGTTTAGAGGGGAATGGGATCTAGGAATTTGGGTTAAAGGGGTATAGGGCTTAGGCTGTAGACTTAAAGATCAAGTTTATGATTTTATGATTTTTCTCATTTGGGGTAGGGTTTGGATGTCACCCTCTCCTTTTCTTGAAGGGGGCTTTGGGTGCACGGTTTGGGGTTCACGTTAAGTCCTTTAGGGTTTAGGGTTTCGGTTTAGGGTCTGGGGTCTAGGGTTTAGGGTCTAGGGTTGAGGGTTTAGGGCTTTCTGGGCCTCGCTCTTCTGGGATCCACCCCGCCACCCCCGACCTGAAGTTTGGTGCCGTTGAGGGTTCCCAAGAATGACCCAATAGTGGTATAGGGTACTCTAACCCTAAACCCGAAACCCTAAACCCTAAACCCCAGTCGTACTATTTTGGGGGTTCTACTTCTTGGATCATCTCAGGGGTCTGGGCCGGGCCCGGTTATGACCAGGGGCGAGTCAGGGTGCCTTAGGACCCGGAGTCCTGCACCCACGTAACCCCTAGACCCCTCATAAACACACACTCTACAGCCCAAGGGCCCATACATCCTAAACCCTAAACCCTAAACCCTAAACCCTAAACCCTAAACCCTAAACCCTAAACCCTAAACCCTAGACCCTAAACCCTAAACCCTAAACCCTGAAAAGAAGGTAAGGGGCCATATTCAGGGACCATGTGTCTGCCCTACGAGTGGCAGGAATCCAGTAAGCAAAGGGCTTTCATGAAACCCTAAATCCCAAACCCTAAACCCTAAACCCTAAACC